ACTTGATTATTTAGAACATAATAACTTGTTGATTATGATGTTTTCCCATTCAAAATTTGCAGGAACACCATTGAGAAAACAGACCATTCAACTATCACCTTCAATGCCTAGCCTTAGTACTGAAAACCTCGCCTGGCTTAATGTTGGGAACCTGACCACTCAGAAGCATATTTTTGAACTGATGATGAGGAACATTAAGTCTATGCAGCTCACTGAATGGCTTCTCTGCAATTCAAGTTATGTCCTTGAGCAATCTGCATTTACTCTGTCTCCAAATATCATACCCATAGGCCCACTTCTGACAAGCAATGCTTCAGGAAACTCAGCGGGCAATTTCTGGCCCCAAGACCTCACTATTATGAACTGGCTAGATCAGCAGTCACCTAGTTCAGTCATTTATGTTGCGTTTGGAAGTTTCAGAACTATGAGTCCAAGCCAGTTCCAAGAACTGGCTTTAGGGCTTGAACTTTCCAACAGACCTTTTATCTGGGTTGCACAACCAGACTTCAGACAAGGGAACAATAATGAATACCCTCAAGGATTCGAAGACAGAGTTGGTGATCGTGGTCAAATGGTTGGTTGGGCTCCGCAGAAGAAGATTCTGAGGCATGCTTCAGTTGCTTGCTTCATAAGTCATTGTGGTTGGAACTCCACCATGGAAAGTGTAAGCAATGGAATTCCCATTCTGTGCTGGCCTCACTTTGCAGATCAGTTCCTGAATAAGAGCTATGTCTGTGATGTTTGGAATGTAGGAATGGGATTTGAGACAGATGAAAGGGGCATAATCACAAGCAATGAAATTAGAGACAAAATTAAGCAACTCTTGAATGATGAGGATTTGAAGGAGAGGGCAAAACATCTCAAGGAAAAAGTTCTAAGTGGAATCAGAGAAGGTGGTAAATCTCGCAATAACCTAGATGGTTTTGTCAAGTGGATCAAAATGAAGAATTAGATGTACGAAGTGTTGCAATGATGTTAAACTTCTCAGCCTACCTTATAAAATAAATGAAAAAGAATCTAAATCCATATCCCCTGAAAGGTGTTTCTCAACCACCTTTCACAACTACTTTTGTTTCCTTATGGGTGCTTGTAATAAGCATTGGTAATTTTAGAATCTATAAACAACAATACGATTTGTTGTGTGGTTTTAGAGAAGATGGTAATTGTAATAAGCATTGGTGGTTTTAGAATCTATAAACAGCAATACGATTTGTTGTGTGGTTTTAGAGAAGATGGTAATCAAACTAGTTGCATTCTAGCCTGATCCATCTTCCCTGATGGTACTTGAATTTAACTATGGCAATAAAGTCAAAAAAATTTAACTGAGAGAAGTTTGATACTTGAATGGGAGAGTTAGTAAGATGGGGAAAAAAAAAAAAACCAAGCTTTTTTTTAAGGCCAAATAGCACAGTTGTTAAATTGAAGTATCAATATGTGGCTGGTACATTGGCATTGCTTCTTCCGTCTCCTCCTCTGTTTTGTTGTGGCCCACATAAATTTTCAATTCTTTTTCTCAAATTACTGTGTTTCTTTTGTTTGTCCTTATGCTCAATTCCCATTAAAGAATTGATTTCCGTGCAAATCAGCATGCCGATAGCAAATATTAATCATTAGACTTTTATCAAAAGAAACAAACAAACCCAAGATAAATCCATGAAGACAAAGCTAATAGCTATTAAGGGACAATGTTTACAAAAACAAGGATTACATTGTTTTCTCAGGCATATCATAAAAATGTAGTAGTATATATACGACTTGGAAGTCTTGCAATTCTTGCACGAGCATCAAGTGGAAAGAATAACCATCATTATAAGAAGCTGCTTGTTCACATAGAGGAGAACAGTAAGATCTGGTTTTGAGTTAAACAATGAGTAGAGCACATGTTTTGGCTTTGCCTTATCCAGCACAAGGCCACGTCAAGCCTCTTATGGAGTTTTCATGTGAGCTAGTCAAACATGGCATCAAAGTCATATTTGTGAAAACTGATTTCAAGCACAAGAAAATCGCGAAAGCTCATGAAGCAAGAGGTGAAGATCAAGACCAGGTGGGGAAGGAGGTTAAACTAGTCTCAATCCCAGATGGGTTGGGACAAGATGAAGATAGAAACTGTCTGGAAAAATTGACAGTGTCAATCTGTGAAGTAATGCCAAAGAAGCTGAAAAAGCTGATACGAGAGATAAATGAAGAATCAGAGAGTGAAAATATCAGTCGTGTTGTTGCAGATGGGAGCATGGGATGGGCACTTGAAGTTGCAGAAAAGATGGGAATCCAAAGAGTTTCATTCTGGCCTGCTTCAGCTTCGCTCTTGGCCTTGTCTTCAGCAAAACTGCTTGATGATGGAATCATTGATACTGATGGTGAGACAATTAATTGCCCTTCATCTAATCATTTAAATATTTTGAATATATATAAACTAACTTTTATATTGATACCAAATCTCTTTTACAGGTGTTGGGCATTATAATTAAATTAACACCAACAGTGACTATAACTTCTCCAAAATGATTTCTGATTTCCAATTCAGGAACACCAGCAAAAGATGAGATTATTCATGTGGGGCCAAATATGCCAGCTATGAGGACAAAACATTTTGTGTGGACACAAATTAGTGATGACTTGAATGCACAAAAAATTGTGCTCAACTGTATGATGAGAAACAACAAAGCTGTAGAAGTTGCAGAGTGGGTGATCTGCAACTCGGCTCCTGAACTAGAGCCTTCAGCATTTGCTTTTGCTCCAAATATTCTTCCTATTGGTCCACTCCAAGCAAGCAAGAGCAACGATGTTCATCATTTAGCAGGATCATTTTGGCCAGAAGACTCAACTTGTTTAAAGTGGCTTGATCAACAACCAGATAAGTCGGTTATTTATGTTGCTTTTGGAAGTTTTACTATCTTTGATTTCCTCCAGTTGCAGGAACTAGCACTAGGACTTGAACTCTCAAACAAGCCATTTCTATGGGTTGTAAGATCAGATATCAACAATGAGGCAAACTATGCCTTCTTAAAAGCATTTGAGGACAGATTATCTTCTCATGGGAAGGTTGTTTGTTGGGCTCCTTAGCAGAAAGTTATAAGGCATCCTTCAATTGCTTGCTTCGTAAGCCATTGTGGCTGGAATTCTACCACAGAAGGGCTCATTAATGGAGTTCCTTTGTTGTGCTGGCCTTACTTTGCCGATCAGTTCCTTAATGAGACCTACATTTGTGATATTTGGAAGGTTGGCTTAAGGCTCGACCGACACGACAGAATCATTGGTCGAGAAGAAATAGCATCTAAGATTAAGCAAGTTCTCCTTGACGAGGGATATAGAGCAACGGCTTTACAGCTGAAGGAAAAAGCCATTCATAGTGTCAAAAAAGGTGGGAGTTCAAACAAATTTTTGAACAAATTCGTTGATTGGATTAAAGCATAAAGAAAGTGTTTCAAGTAATCAGGTTTAGAGATCAAGTGGAATATGACAAAGGAACAAAGAGAAACTTTGTTCACTATATGATACAGAAGAATGTCCCTTGAACATCCAAATACTTGCACTGATATATCACTGTAAAAAAGCTCTAATGAACTTGTCAAGGGTGTGGAAGCTCATGGATTTTCTTTGACAGTATCCGAGTTTGTTTTTATTCGTTTTAGTTGTTTTGAGGTGCTTTTGTCGAATTAACCCAAGAGTCTAAGACCACTGACGCCAATCCTTGCATTCAACTTTCTAGTTTTTCTGTCACAAGTAAAAATTGAGTTCCTCTTTCCAAAACTAATAGTTCTCATAATCTACAATACTCGAGATCATTCTTCTTAACCATTATCAGCTTCAACTAACAAGCCAATGGTCATTCTTTACAGTGAATACACACAATTGAACATTAAAGCAAAAACAAATGTCAATTCATGAAGAACATAACGCCCAAGAAGTATAAAGGAGAGTAGGATTCAATAGCTTTCCACACAATCTCACAAAATATCGTTATAAACCGATATCTTGTTGATTTCCATGATATGTACACGGGTTTCTAGCCTAGACACGGTGCAATATATGTTAAGTTCATGACAGAACTAAATAGATTAGAGTCACAGCGTATTTACTTCTTCTGTTAACTGCCCTCATTCTTTATGCCATTTGGCAGTGTAGGAATGAATTAACTTTCAAGACCTCTCAAATTAGTCCTACGATTCATTATAGTCAAGCTATCATTGACAACTAGGAATTCTGAGAAATTACGTCTCAGAATCTCCAATAGAGATATATATTTCCGTCCAAAAGAAAATTACGTGTTGAGCATAATATAAGGGATGTTTAGGGAAAATAATTTTGGAATGGAGAACTTCCACAGTATGCTCACTAGTTCTTCACGCCAACCATAGTGGAATACTCTTCCTATCCTTAATGTAAGATCTATTTAATTAATTTAATTAGATTAAGAAAGTTAGGTAAGTTAGTTAATTATAAGAAATATGACTTTTTGTCTTAAAATACCATAATTATTTTCCTTAATATTCTCCCTCTCTCTTCTACTTAATTATAACTGAAGGAGTATCAATAGGGATAATTTAAAAAAAATTAATAAACATGTCTTATACGTAGGACCAACATTAAGGGAGGAGTACAAGCTAAGTCTGAAAAAGAACCAAATAGATCAGTGGCGGCATTATTTCAAAGAGAAAGAATTGATACACAATAATCACGGTACATAAAATAGATTATCTTGAAGGATTTGCACGTAGGAAAGCTAATTACACATCCAATTGTTTCCAATCACGTTTTATGTAACTGGATCATCGACGAAGACATTATAATTACTAGTATTCGTTATCCAACATCAGTCAATCCCCTGATGTAGCCCCTTTTTCAAAAGGAAAATATCAAATTTTGTACCGCTGGGAAGTATTTACCTCTCATAATTCCTGGAAATGTTTCCGCGAAATGTCAGAATTCAGAATCAAACAATGAGTAGAGCACATGTTTTGGTTTTACCCTTACCAATACAAGGCCATATTAATCCTCTTATGGAGCTTTCACTTGAATTGCGCAAACATGGCATCAAAATCACATTCGTGAACACGGACTTCAACCACAAGCGAATCATGAAAGCTATTCGGGCAACAAGGGGTGAAGAAGAAGGAGAAGAAGAGCGAGTGGGAAATTATCAGATTAAACTGGTATCAATCCCTGGAGGGCTACAACAAGAGGAAAAAAAGGCTCGTCCTGTGGACAGATTAATGGATTCAGGGTGGCAAGTCATGCCAGAGAAGTTGTTGAAGCTGATCCAAGAGATAAATGAATCAGAAAGCGAAAAGATCAGCTGTGTAGTGGCAGATAAGGGTATGGGATGGGCACTTGAGGCTGCAGAGAAGATGGAAATCAAACGGGCTGTGTTCTTTCCTGCTTCAGCTTCAAACTTGGCCTTGTTTCTCAGCATCCTAAAACTGCTTCATGATGGAATCATTGACAGTGATGGTGAGGCCATTTGCTTTGTTATTTTCTTTCACATTTAGGAATCAGCATACGAAAATGATAATGAACACTTGATGAGAATTTAGCCTTCAATATCTAAAAAAGTCAAGGCACTAGTTATAGTTTCAGACATGGCACCTAAACCTTTAACATTTATGTCTGACGCCACAACTAAACTTTTCGTAAAGAAGATCATAAAAAATCATTTCACAAGCATTTGGCTTTTACTTACTATAGCTTAAGTGTCTGTATCTGCTAGTGCCCAAACGGAAATAAGGGAGAAACAACAATAAAACTGGATTTACTCACAATAATCTTCCTCCCAGAACAGAAAGAAGTTACAAAAGTAAGAAAAACACACCGAAAGAGAAAGATAAATGATGAAGAAAGGCTATCTTCCTCCACCCCACACTGGCATTCGAGAGGCCAGAGCTCTCCTCACTACTCTCAAATTACAAAAAAGCTCTTCTCACTACTCTCAAATTACACAACAAGTCCTACCCCTCTCAGGATACAACCATTACTAATATAAGCCCAAAAAGTGAATCACACAATCCCCAATACACCCTTTTCTAGGTCAGGCCTATAGCCACCCTAAAACAACTCCAATGCTTAGTTTCTTTCTCCAAAACAGAAGGAAGCTTGAGGTCAATACCCTGGACGGCAGAAATGGCTTTCCTCTTTCTTGTATCTTCCTACTTTTACTTTTAAGCTTTGACCAGTAAAAGCACCTCTATCAGTATCCAAACAGTTAGAACTTCTCAAAAGTGATTTGTAATATGTATTCTAGGAACACCAACAAAAGATCAGATTATTCATTTGGCTCCAGAGATTCCTGCCATGAGGACAACACATTTAATGTGGACACAAGTTTGTGACAACTTGGATGCATAAAAAACTTTGTTCAACCTTGTAATGATGAGCAACAAAATTGTGGAAAGCACTGACCGGGTCATCTGCAACTCAACGCATGAACTTGAGGCTCCAACATTGTCTTTTGCTCCGAGGATTCTTCCTATAGGTCCACTTCAAGCAAGAAAGAACAACCACATTGATCATTTAGCAAGTTCCCTTTGGCCAGAGGACTCAACTTGCTTAAATTGGCTAGATCTACAACGAGAGAAATCAGTTATTTATGTTGCTTTTGGAAGTTTAGCGAAATTTGACCATAACCAGTTGCAAGAACTAGCATTGGGACTTGAGGTCTCAATCAAGCCATTTTTGTGGGTGTAAGATCAGATATCAATAACGGGGCAAACTGTGAGTTTCTAAAGGAATTTGAAAAGAGGTTATGTTCTCATGGGAAGGTAGTTGGTTGGGCTCCTCAGCAAAAGGTTCTAGGTCATCCTTCAATTGCTTGTTTCGTTAGCCATTGTGGTTGGAATTCTACCATAGAAGGTGTCATCAATGGAGTGCCTTTTTTGTGTTGGCCTTTCTTTGCTGACCAGTTTATTGATGAGACCTACATTTGTGATATTTGGAAGGTCGGGTTAAGGCTTGATCGAAGCAATGTGATAGTTAGCCGAGAAGAAATAGCAACTAAGATTAAGCAAGTGGTCTATGATGAGGGATTCAGATTAAGGGCTTTACAACTGAAGGAAAAGGTCATCAATAGTGTCAAAGAAGGTGGCAGCTCATACAAAAATTTGAACAACTTTGTTAATTGGATTAAAGCATAAGGAAAGTATTTCAATTTATAACTCAAGTGCAATATGACAAAGGAACTAAGAGAAACTTTGTTCACCCTCTTAGCATCTGAAATACTTGCACTGATATATCACCGTAAAAAAACTGATGAACTTACGGAGGGTGTTAAATGTTTTTTTTTTTCTCAAGGCAATCTTCAACAGTATCCTACTTTGTTTTTGTTCTTTTTGGTTGTTTTGAAGTTTTTTTATTGAATTAACTTGAGGCCCATAATGCCAGTCCTTAAATTCGACTTTCTAGTTTTTCTATCACGGGTAAAAAAATTAAAAGTTACTATCTCCAAAACTATTAGTAGTTCTCATAATCTACAGCACTCAACAATAATTCCACACAGAGTGCTTCATTGGGTTAGAAGATCATTCATCTTAGCAGTTATCAGATCCAACTAACAAACCGATAGTCTTTCTCTACACAATGAAATATTAAAGCAAAAACAAATAATGCCAATTTATGGAGTGTGGTGGCTCCATTTGCACATCGTTTAGAAGAAAGCAGGCTTTAATAGGTGGCCACACAATCCCACAAAATATTAAGTTATAAACCATTATATCAATTACACGTTGATTTCCAAGATGTTCTAAACATGGCCCAATAGTTAAGTTACCATCAGAGTCAAAATGTTTCAGAGAGTAAAATTTGATGCACAATATTGGTGCACAAAATACATTATTCAAAAGGAGTCATTTTACCATTTATTGTTAGGATATACTACCTCCAATTCTTAATATAAAACCTAGTTGACTAATTTGAGGAGATTAAGGAAGTCAAACAAATTACTTTAAAATATTATATTTATAATTTTTAAAACAAATTTGACTGGCTTATAAACTGATATTTAATCCAATAATATATATAAATATTTTAGAAAAATCATGTAATAGATGCTATAATTAAATAAATTTTTAACTACCTTAATTTTTCACTAATTAGTCAATTCGGTTAAAACGCGCGGAGGTAGTCTATACGTATTCCCAGCAGAGTTGGCGAAATGCTTAAGGATATTCTCGTATGGGTATGTCAGTTTGTTGAATGGAATAATGTTCCAGACAGGTGTGTTGTCTATATCTCTTTTTCAATAACAGAAACATATATTTCCATCCAAACGAAAAATTACACGCTGATGATAGTTTAATATTCCTGGAGTCTTATTTATAAATCACTTCCAACATGTTTCATATAAACCAATAAAAACCAAACTTCATTAACTTTCATTAAAATTTAACAACTTTCTAACTTTATCCCTATTTAATATAAAATAAACCTCATAAGAATGACGTTAATACAATAATAAATGAAAGGCGAAGTTATATATTCATATGAAAATTTCCTCTCTTTATCTTATAAATAGGATTAGAGGAGTACGTATTAAGGCTAAAGAAGGACGAAATGGGCTAGTGGCGCACTTATTTCAAAGAGGAAAATTTGAAGCATAATTAATCAAAGGATTCGCACACAAGAAAGCTAATTCCACATCCAAATCTTTCCAATCAAGTTTAATGTAATTGAAGTATCTACGACGAAATCATAATTATTGGTATTCTTTATTCAACATCCACGTCACATCCCATGATATGATTCCATTTTCAATCAAGGAAAACATCAAGTTTTGATGCCACCGGAAGTACTTACCTCTCATAATTCCTGGAAATTTTCCCATAAAATCTCATAATTCAGAATCAAACGATGAGTAGAGAGGGATGGAAGTTTTTTTTTTTTTTGTAAATAGGAGGGCGCACGTTTGATCCTACTTGTAACCATAGGTCATTAATGCTTGTCCCACTAATTCCAAGAAAATAAATTGATGAAAACACTGGTTATGACACCTCACTTAAAGTCTTTGAGATTTTAAACAGAAATTGTTTATGACATTGTAGCTAAACCTTGAATATATGTATGCCTGCCATCATGACTAAACTATTTAATTATAAGGAAGATCTTGATAAAACTTCTCATAAGCATATGATTTTTAGGTAATAGCTTAAATTATGAGTTAAAAAGAGGGAGTGTACCAAATATATGTATCCAAACTCTTAGAACTTCTCCAAAATGATTTGTTATATCTATTATAGGAACACCAACAAAAGATCAAATTATTCATTTGGCTCCAGAGATGCCTACTATGAAGACAAAACGACACAAGTTTGCGACAACTTGAACGCAAAACAAATTTGTTCAACTTTATAATGAGGGGCAACAAATTTCTGGAAAGCACAGACTGGGTAATATGCAACTGAACTCTAGAGCTTGAGGCTCCAACATTTGCTTTTGCTCCAAACATTCTTCCTATAGGTCCACTTCAAGCAAGAAAGGGCAACCATATTGATCATTTAGCCTGATCGTTTTGGCCGGAGGATTCAACTTAATTGGCTATATCTACAACCAGATAAATCAGTTATTTATGTTGCTTTTGGAAGTATAGCTACATTTGATCATACCCAGTTACAAGAACTAGCATTGAGACTTGAACTCTCAAACAAGCCACTCCTATGGGTTGTAAGACCAGATATTACTAACGGGGAAAACTATGACTTCCTAAAAGAATTTGAAGAAAAAGTGTATTCCCGTGGGAAGGTAGTGGGTTGGGCTCATCAACAAAAGTTTACAAGTCATTATTCAATTGCTTGCTTCTTAAGCCACTGTGGTTGGAATTCTACGATAGAAGGCGTCATCAATGGAGCACGTTTCTTGAGTTGGCCTTTCTTTTCTGACCAGTTTATTGATGAGAGCCACATTCGTGATATTTGGAAGGTCCGGCTAAGGCTTGGTCGAAGCGATATGATCATTAATTACCCAAGAAGAAATAGCTTCTAAGATTAGGCTAGTGGTCCATGATGAGGGATTTAGAGTAAGTGCTTTACAGCTAAAGGTAAGGGCCATTAATGGTGTCAAAGAAGATCGCAGCTCAAACAAGAATATGAAGAACTTTGTTGATTGGATTAAGGCATAAAGGAAATATTTCGGGTTTATAAGCCAAGTGCAATATGGCAAAGGAAAATAGACAAATTTGTTCTGCATATGACATAGCATATGAAAATACTACCTCCCATTCTTAATATAAGAACTAGTTGACTAATTTGAGTAGATTAAAAAAACTAGTTAAGTTAATTATTTGTAATAGATAGGTATTATTTTTCGTAAAATATCCTTACTAATCAAGTATATTAGTTAGAACTATCAGTATTATAAGAACTACTTTGGAGAAAAAATTGGATAAATATGAGAGACAAAGTAGATTGGGGTCTTCTATTTAATATCAAAATTTAGTACTTGTGATGATGTAAGAAGGGACTCTAATGAACTTGTTGAGGGGGTGGAATTTTTTTTTAAGCTAATATATTTTGTTTAAAAATATCCTCATTTGTTTTTATGTTTTCTATAAGTTCTCTTATTGAATTAGCCTAAAACTTACAGAAACACTTCTGTTGTATGAGGGCATAGCACAACCTTAAAATGACCACTACAATAATATTATCTTACTCCCTTTTTTTTTTTTGGCACAAGGTAAGCAAATACATCTTGTTCAACCCCAAGAAGATCAAGCAAGTCCGTCATTGAAAGGTTCATAATAACAGTAATTCATATGTGCATCCCTTAATTACATGGTTCATTAAATTTTATATATAAGAATAACTAATGTTTATATAGCACAATATTATTTTGAACTAACTAAAAAATTTCAATCAGCGGAACTAGTTGAAGAGAAAATAAACATACTTGAATCTGATGGTATATACAGCAAATGTCACAGCAGGAAGAGTGAGTTGGGTTCAGAGAATGAAACTGTTTAGATTCAGTTTTTGGTTGCTTTTGTCCGTATATCTCCAATCACTCACCTAAAACTACTTCTTACCTGTGTATGTAACTCCCTTCTTTCAAATAAATGGGTATATTACATATATTTGCCCTTAATTTTTCTTATCTCTGTTTGTATCCCAGTCATAGTGGGTTTGAGCTTATTCATCAAGGGTGGACGGATTCTTCTTGCAGTCTCGTTAATCTTTATTATCTTCTTTATTTTTAACTAGTTCTCAAAATAATCGACATAGAGGCTTTGGAATCATTCAAATACGAGTTAACCAATTTTTCAACTAATTAAAATGAATATGAAATCTCCAGAGAGTTAGAGAGTTGACGAGACAGGATATGAATAGATGTGGCTAGACAAGGGAATCCAACAGAATCCAATCATATCCGAATATTTCCAATCATGCTTCATGTAATTGGACCCACCACATGTCCATGGCCAAAAAAGGCAAACAAAAATCTATATTTAGTCTAGTTTTACTACTTTTGGCAAGCACGCACGCACACACGTCTCATGATCCCTGGCCATATTTGCATGAACTTTCAGAGAAAAAAGAGTTCAGACTTCAGAGTTAAACAATGAGGAGAGCACATGTTCTGGTTTTGCCTTTAACTGCACAAGGCCATATTAATCCAATCATGGAGCTTTCACAAGAACTGCTCAAACATGGCATCGAAATCACATTCGTGAACACGGATTTCAACCACAAGCGAATCATGAAAGCTATCCAGGCAACAAGAGGTGAAGGAGAAGAAGAACAAGTAGGAAATGATCAGATTAAACTGGTATCAATCCCTGATGGGCTACAACAAGAGGAAAACAAGGCTCATCCTGTGGACAAATTAATGTAATCAGGGTGGCAAGTGATGCCAGAGAAGTTGGAGAAGCTGATCCAAGAGATAGATGAATCAGAGAGCGAAAAGATCAGTTGTATATTGGCAGATAAGGGTATGGGATGGGCACTTGAAGCTGCAGAGAAGATGGGAATCAAACGAGCCGTGTTCTTTCCTGCTTCAGCTTCAAACTTGGCCTTGTTCCTCAGCATCCCAAAACTGCTTCATGATGGAATCATTGACAGTGATGGTGAGACCATTTGCTTCGTCATTTTCTGTCACATTTGGGAAACAGTATCCGAAAATGATAATTATGGCTCCTCACTTGAACCCTTTTTTTAAAAAAAAAAAAAAAAACCAAACTCAAACGAACCGTTGAAGAGTTTCAAAAGAAACTGTTTTGCAAAGAAGATCATAACAAATCTTTTCATAAGCATATGGCTTTTACTTAATTAATAGCTTAAATGTGTGCATCCAAGTAGTTAGAACTTCTCAAAAGTGATTTGTAATCTGTATTATTCTAGGAACACTGACAAAAGAGTAGATTATCCATTTGGCTCCTGATGCCTGCTATGAGGACAACACATTTAATGTGGACCCAAGTTTGTGACAACTTGAATGCGCAATAAACTATGTTCAACTATGTAGTGAGGAGCAACAAAATTGTGGAAAGAACAGACTGGGTGATCTGCAACTCAACACATGAACTTGAGGCTCCAACATTTTCTTTTGCTCCGCGGATTCTTCCTATAGGTCCGCTTCAAGCAAGAAAGAACAACCACTTTGATCATTTAACAGGATCCTTTTGGCCAGAGAACTCAACTTGCTTGAATTGGCTAGATGTACGGCCAGACAAATCAGTTATTTATGTTGCTTTTGGAAGTCTAGCTAAACTTGATTTTTACCCAGAACCCAGTTGCAAGAGCTAACATTGGGACTTGAACTTTCAAACAAGCCATTTCTTTGGGTTGTAAGATCAGATATCAATAAAGGGGCAAACTACGGGTTTCTAAAAGAATTTGAAGACAGATTGTGTTCTCATGGGAAGGTAGTGGGTTGGGCTCCTCAGCAAAAGGTTCTACGTCATCCTTCAGTTGCTGCTTCTTAAGCCATTGTGGTTGGAACTCTACCATAGAAGATGTCATCAATGGAGTGCCTTTATTGTGTTGGCCTTTTTTCACTGGCCAGTTTATTGATGAGACCTACATTTGTGATATTTGGAAGGTCGGGTTAAGGCTTGACCGCAGCAATGTGATAATTAACCAAGAAGAGATAGCATCTAAGATTAAGCAATGATGAGGGATTCAGAGTAAGGGCTTTATAGCTGAAGGTGTTGGCGGGGGAATGGTTCACTGAAAAGTATAAGAAGAGATATAGAAAAAAGTGGTGCATGATGTCTTCAAGGCGTGGACAGCACTCTCTTTTAGGTTTAATTCGCCCCCACCTATTCCTATTTTATAGGGTGCAAGTTGGAATGCTCGACAAATTTTCTTCAGAATACAATGAAGACCCTTTGAATAAGGATTGTACTTCTAAAATTTAAGCAAAGACAACAATAGTTTTTACAAGGTAATAATTTGATTCTATCTTTGCGTGCACTCAAAGACAAAGGCAATGAGTTTGATTTTTGTGTTTGTGTTGTATTGTTTTCAGAAAAAGTGATGGTTAGGGGTTTATATAGATCATGAAATGATGCCTTGAAAAGATACCTTTTGGAATAATACCTTATTAGTTAAAAAGTTACAACCATATGTTGGTTCATGAACTAACATAATTTAAATAGATACAATGTATTTGATATATAGGGTTTTTTGGTGTTTTAACTTCCTACGTAACCCTTCATATAAATATATTAATTTATATGAAAACACAACCCCTCATATAAATATATTAATTTATATGAGAACATAACCCTTCAAATAAATTTATTAATTTATATGAAGATATAACCCCTCATATAAATTTGTTAATTTAATAAATTTATATAAGAATATGATTTTTTAAAAATACATCTCTTCATTTTAAAAATATTCCAACAATCCCCCACTATGTTTAAAATGAACCCTAACTCTTGTCACTTCAAAAATCTCATGTTTTTAGTAAAGGTATCTTAAGGATTTGAATCTTTACCTAAGACATGGTTTCAGCCATCCGAAATAATATGGTAGACTAAGCTTTGAACCAATTATCCTACTTGAATAGGTGTGCATGACTCATGTATGGGATCTTAAACCACTGTATGTCACTTAAAATGACATGTTTATGGCCTTGTGTCCGTACCCTTTTCATGAAGAGTTTTCAGAGTCAAGTTCTTAGACTACTAGAAGCGGCCTCACTTCACTCTCATATAGGTAAACTCTATCAAGAGCACCACCATGATTAATGCTCCAGCAAATATATGTTTATAAATCTATGCCAAATTAAAGGTCAACCTTTCTCTTTTAAACCTCATGGTTGCCAAGTACTTTTCAACCTTGGGATGTATAAACATATCAAGTACTTGCAATCACTCTAATAGTGTACTTTCATCATTGAACCCAAGAATTGATATGATGGTCAAGTGTGAGTTAGGTTTCCACTATCAATGATCAAGATTTATAAAGCTTCAATCCTATCCCCTTTGATATTTTCAACATCATTTCTCTTGCTAAACCTTTCGTCGAAGGATCTACAATATTCAATTAAGATTTTATATAACTTATGAAAATTACTCCATTCATAATCAGATTCTTCATAGAAATATGTCTCAATCCAATATGTCGTGATTTCCCATTATAAACTTGGCTATAAGCCCTTGAAAGAGTAGACTGACTATTACAATGGATAGATATTAGTGCTATTAGCTTAGGTCATATAGGAATTCCAAGTAACAAGTAGAGTCTGCAATACAAATTTGTTTCTTAAATCCCCAAGAAATAGCACCTCCACCTAAAATAAAGACCCATCTACTTGTAGAAGCATGATCTTATGAGTAACTTATCCAACTGGCATCTGTATGTCTTTGCAAAATTAAGTAAAAGTATAGACTTGCACCCAAACTTATTAAGTAAAGGTATAGAAATTAAATTCTTCCTAACTTTTGGTACATAATAGATACAAAACAATGTACTTGTTAGCATCTAAAATACTTGTACTGGTATATCATTACAAGAAGGGGCTCTAATGAACTTGTTGCGGGTGTCAAAATTTCTTTTAAGTTAATGGATTTTCTTCAACAATATCCTAGTTTTCTTTTCATTCTTTGTGGTTGTTTTGAGGTGCTTTTATCGAATTAACCTAAGGCTATGAATTCCAGTTCTTAGATACATGTAAGTTCATGACAGAACTAAATAGATTAGAGTCACAGTGTTTCAGAGAGTGAAATTTGATGCACTACAATAGATTATTCAACTCCTACATGAAAGATTTTCACATTAGCAGCTGTTTTTATGCTTCCTAGTTCTGAAGTGAAACATTTCGGCAATATTTTTTGGTCTTAGTCACTCTAGGCCGCCTCTGGTTTCCCAAATATTTTTATAGAAATAATTTTATTTGATGCATCGGGAAAAGTATGAGCATTGGTTATTTTATTTGTGTTTGGTTCGATGGAATGGCTATAATATCCCTGCTACAGAAATCACTTAAAATATTTATTAATAAAAAGTTTCAAATCTTATGACAAAAACATATTGAAATGCTACCTCCAATCTTACATATAGAAGATAGATAATTTATTTTGGTATTAAATATAAAACTTCAATCCATTTTGTATCCTAAATTTGTTGGAATATTTTTAAAATGAAGAGATGTGTTTTTCAAAAGTCATGTTCTTATGTAAATTTAATAAATTAATAAAGTTATATGAGGGGTTACGTCTTTATATAAATTAATAAATTCATTTGAAGGGTTTTGTTCTCATATAAATAAATGTATTTATATGAGGGGATGTGTCTTCATATAAATTAATATATTTATATGAAGGGTCATGTAGGAAGTTACAATACTAAAAGACTCTACATATTAAATGCATTTTATTCATTTAAATTATCTTGGCTTATGAACCAACATATAATTGTGACTTCATTAATAAGGTATTATTCCAAAAAGTATCTCTTCAAAGCATTATTTCATGATCTATATAAACCTTTTACCATCACTTTATTTAGACACAAGACAACACAAACACAAAGATCAAACACATTGCCTTTGTCTTTAAGTACATGCAGAGATAGAGTCAAATTATCACTTTCTAAAAATCATTGTTGTCTTCGCTTGAGTCTTGGAAGTATAATCCATATTCAAGGGTCTTCATTGTATTTTAAAGGAAATTCTCCAGCCATTCCAACTTGCAATCTATAAGACAGGAATAGATGGGGGCGAATTAAGCCTAAAAGAAAGTGTTGTTCACACCTTAAAGATATCGTGCACCACTTTGTTCTTCATCCCTTCTTGTACTCTTCATAAAACCATTCCCGCCAACAAAATTTATAATTTTCGCCTGAAGTATCCCTATTAAATGCATATAGTAAGAAGACTTTTATCAAAAGGTAATTATAATATATTATTAGAAAGGGTATTTAGGTGGGTGGTTGACATATCCTATTGTGACCGTGAAGCAAACACTGTGGCAGATAGCATGGCTACGGAGGCTAGGGGAATGTTGGTCGACTTCCTTGTGCTGAACACGCCCCCGGAAACGGCTAAAGGCTTCTTACAGTTGGATAGGAATAATATGTCTACTCTTGACAGTTCAGTTGCTTAGTTTGTAATAGATGCCCGCTTCAATAAAAAAAAAAAAAAGAAAGGGTATTTAGGAAAATCAACATAGTATACATTTGTTACAAACAACTAACTTCTAACTTAATTAATTTTGTTAAGATTTCCAAATTAGTTATTTAACTTTTATAACAAGGATATAGGAGGGAGTAATATATATCTATATTTTTATTAAAATGAATTTTTCTATTTATTACAAAATATCCTTGAGAAACTAAAATGGATCTACTTATGATCACGATTCATCGTACATAAAATAGATTATATTGAAGGATTTTCACATAAGAAATCTAATTCCACGTCTAAATGTTTCCAATAAGGTTTTATATAATTGGAGCTAATTCCACATCCAAATGTTTCCAATCACGTTTTACGGAATTGGAGCATCTGTGAAGAAACTGTAATTACTGGTATTCATCATTAAACATCCACATCACATCCCAAAATAATATGATTCCATTTTTAATAAAAGAAAATATCAAGTTTTGATAACACTGGGAAGTATTTACCTCTCATAATCCCTGGAAATTTTTCCCATGAAATTTCAGAATCCAGGATAATCAAACGATGAGTAGAGCACATGTTTTGGTTTTGCCTTTTCCAGCACAAGGCCATGTGAATCCTCTTATGGATCTTTCACATGAACTGGCCAAACATGACATCAAAATCACATTTGTGAACACAGATTTCATCAACAAGCAAATCATGGAAGCTGAGGCAACAAGAAGTGAAGATAAAGAACAAGTGGGAAGTGATCAGATTCAAATGGTCTCAATCCCAGATGGGATAGAACAAGAGGAGGACAGGAATCGTTGGGAGATATTAATAGAGTCAATCTGGCAAGTTATGCCAATGAAGCTTGAACAGCTGATCCAAGAGAAAAGTGAAAAATCAGAGAATGAAAAGATTAGTTGCGTAGTTGCAGATGCTGCCATGGGATGGGCACTTGAAGTTGCAGAGAAGATGGGAATCCATCGTGCTACGTTCTTGTCTACATCAGCTGCGGTCTTGGCCTTGTGTTTCAGCATTCCAAAACTGCTTGATGATGGAATTATTGATGATGATGGTGAGACCTTTGTGCTTAACTTCGTTTTTCTCCCCTTTTTTCTGCATTTTCTTTCACAAATGGAAATGATGATTAAAAACATGATGAGTATTTAGTCTTACATACATCAGAAATGATCAAACTACTTATAGTTCTTCTCTTAAAACTATTTTAAGTGCATGGTTGGAGTAAAGTTGTTGAACTTTAAGTAGTTTGATCATTTCTGATGTATGTAAGACTAAATACTCATCATGTTTTTAATCATCATTTCCATTTGTGAAAGAAAATGCAGAAAAATCAGTTACTAGCAGAAGCCATGTTTATGGGGAAGGTAATTTTTGTTGTTTCCAGTGCGTGTCACGTTGCTTCCCCTCTGTACTTGTCTTATTTGTCCTTACATGATGTCAATGGACAACATAGAGAGAGACAATTTTAAAGAAGACAATGTGAGAAAGAAGAAAGAGAAGATAACTTACCATCTTTTTTTTTTTTTTGGAGACAAGACAGAAGACAACTTTAATTTACAAAAATCAGTAACTATAAAAGTCACTTTTACAAAAGCTACTCCAAATAAGCTAGAATTTGAATAGAAATTGTTCATAAGAATTTGAATAAAGTATGTCGCACGTATTACAACTGAACTATACAAAGAATCGAGTTTGATCACAATTAACCTATACACAAGTATAGGATCAATACTTAATAGCTTCAACTTTCTAGTATATTTGCATATATTGTGTATATATAATCATGACAAGTAATCTAATCTCTATTGCAGGAACACCAACAAAAGATCAAATTATTCATTTGGCGCCAAATATGCCTGCTATGAGAACAAAACATTTTCCTTGGGCACAAATGGGTGCTGGCTTGAATGCACAAAAACTTGTGTTCAACTGTATGATGAGAAACAACGCTGCAGAAATTGCAGAGTGGGCGATCTGCAACTCAGCTCATGAACTTGAGCCTTCAGCATTTGCTTGTGCTCCAAATATTCTTCCTATAGGTCCACTCCAAGCAAGCAAGAGCAACCATGTTGATCATTTGGCAGGATCATTTTGGCAAGAAGACTCAACTTGTTTAAACTGGCTTGATCAACAACCAGATAAGTCGGTCATTTATGTTGCATTTGGAAGTTTCACCATCTTTGATCTCCTCCAATTGCAGGAACTAGCACTAGGACTTGAACTCTCAAACAAGCCATTTCTATGGGTCGTAAGATCTGATATCAACAATGGGGCAGTCAATGCCTTCCTAAAAGAATTTGAGGATAGATTATGTTCTCATGGGAAGGTAGTTGGTTGGGCTCCTCAGCAAAAAGTTCTAACGCATCCTTCAATTGCTTGTTTCTTGAGCCACTGTGGTTGGAATTCTACCATTGAAGGTGTCATCAATGGAGTGCCTTTCTTGTCTTGGCCTTACTTCGCTGACCAATTTCTGAACGAAACCTACATTTGTGATATCTGGAAGGTTGGGTTAAGGCTTAACCGAGACAATGGGATTATCAGTCAAGAAGAAATAACATTTAAGATAAAGCAACTGCTCAATGATGAGGGTTTAAGAGCAAGGGCTTCAGAACTAAAGGAAAAAGTCATTGACAATGTCAAAGATGGTGGCAGCTCAAACAAGAATCTGAAGAACCTTGTTGATTGGATAAAAGCATAAACAAATAATTTCATGTCCGTAATTAAAGTCTAACAGGGCAAGAACAAAAACAACCTCTCTGCAAGAGGGAACTTTGACGGACTTGTTCAGGAACTGAAAAAGATCTTCCAAGTTGATGCATTCTCTTTCACTGGTTTGTTTTGTTTTTATGGACTTTCAGCTGTTTCAAAGGACTGTCTCTCTGAACACCCCCCCCCCCAAAAAAAAAAAAAAGAAAGAAAAAAAGTCAACAAGCCTAACAACAAAAGCTAAGAGACGATGTTGAAATTCAGGCCACTGATGCCAGCGGTTCAATTCAATTTGCTTCATTCTTTCTGCCTCAAGTAGAAAGTCTGCAACCCAAAATCATAAAGTTCATATTTCCAAATTAATTAGTCCTGGCAATCTACAGTACTCAATAATAGCTCCACTTTATGCTTCAATGAGTATGAAGATAATGCATCATAGATATTCACAGTTCCAGCTAACATGAGACTGGTCACTCTCTTACAGCAAACTGAACACAACAAATATGAAAGCAAAAGCATATATTGTCTTTGTTACTATTTTATCAAGAACATCACGCCCACAATGCTATGGTGCTATCATTTGCAACTCTTTCAGATGAGAGTACGCATCAATAGCTTATTGAATGCTACATAGTATATTATTTGCATAAACAACCAGCATACATATTACACGTTGATACCAGACAACGTATGCTTAAGGAAAATAACTTTGGAATGGATGGCTTCCATAATGTGCCACTGCCAATGTGCCGTGCATGTTAAGTTCAAAATAGAACAAACTAGCTCAGAGGCACAATGTTTCAAAGAGGCAACTTCGATAAATAATCATGGTGATTATGCAACTTCTACTTGAAAGATTTGCACATAAGCAAGTAATAATTTTTTGCTTCCTTGAGCTCTTAAGTGAAATAATCTGCCAATAATGTTCATTCTCAATTCACTCCAGAAGCTGCATTCTGAACGTAAAACAAAGTCATCCTAGCCTAAACTCCATCATGCACAATTGATGCAATTAATCCCGTATCCAAACATTAGAATAAATTTCATTAAGAATAGCCAGCACTGGATCAATCTTCTTTCTTTGTAGGTTTTCCAAAGCTTGCTAATTATTTTATTCATCTAAGCAGGGGAACGATCCTTCTTGGACAAGAACGAGCATCATTGGAAGTGAACCTGTAATAACCCAAGTTTTACCAAGATATTTATACCTGGTAACAAACTTAAGAACCAAGCAACTTTTTCCATCTTGCATATCCATAAACAATGAAAAAAAGCAATATGCTAGCTGCAGTAATGCCCCCAACAAATGGCCAGAAAACTCCGTGAGTCTGGTATAATGTACAAGGGATGTTCATACCAAACATGCCAGCAATCAAAGTCTCAAAAGCAATGGCAAATGATGCAATGGTCAGTGTCAGCTGAAGCTGAATAAGTTCATTTCGATGGCTGTCAAGTTGGATGTTAACATAGTCCTCTGTGTCGTCAATATACTCCCTCACCTGCAAACCCATAGCCATGGAGTAAGAATAAAATGAGGGTCAAATTCCTTTATTCAAAAAAGAATGAGAGTCAAATTCCATCACAATTAACTAATACAAGTAAAGGCAAAATCTAGTAACAACTTTTTAAATACTTACCACAACTTTACTGATAAAAACAAAATAAACCAGTTTAACATTTTTTACATCTTAACACATCATCAACTCTTTCAAATAATTTTTCATACATGTTGTGCTTTTACTAAGGAAGCTAAAAGGAAAGGGGGAAAAAATGAAGTTTTCCTTAGTCCTTACAGAAACGCTTCCTATGAGTGATGACTACTTAAATTCAAATTAGGCAGCACTTGTGACAATTCAGTATCCATCACCTAACTCATCATTTGGTTCAATGACACATAGACTACTTCTTGCCTACTTCCTCCCTTGGGCCAGAAAAAGATCAGCATAATCTAAACAATTTTATGTAACAGATAAATAAAGTTAGCTAGAGGGGTTAACAGGTAGTCCTGATGGATAGTTGATTATTGTCTATATATAAAAGAGAATATAGGGTCATCATAATCAGTGCATTTGGACTAATGGAATAGAATTGAGTTTCTTTTCTCTCATTTCCTCTCCTCCTCCCTGCCTCTGTCTCTCTCTCTTCCCTCTCTTTCCCAGCTAAATACCATAGCAGTAGTATCCAAAGCCAGGCTCCATGGAACACCCCCGGGCTTATAGAGAGAGAGAGAGAGAGAGAGAGCAATAGGAGAGATACAGAAGAGGAGGGGAAAAGAAAGAAAAGAAACCCTACTATTCCATTAGACCAAACGCAGTGATTACAATGACTCTTTATTCCTTTTTATAGACAGTAATCAACCATCCTAACTACCTGTTAACCCCTTCAATAACTCTTATCTATCTATCTATTATTATATAGAAAACAAGCACACAATTCAGTGGATCCCACAGCCGAAATCATCGGTCCACATTGAGTGCAGACACAACAACTTGTAATAGCAGCCAACCTGGCAAATAAAGGGGGCAATAACCACAATGATCGTCATAAAAAAACTTACTGATAATATCTTGTTCCGTGTTCCATCCAACTGCATAAAATATGCCTCAAGCAACATCTCCAGATCCTCAACATCAGAATCATCCACCACGTTGCTAGTGATAAGACTTCCACTTCTATTAGAGCCATGGTGAGGAACAAGAGCTGCAGTAGCAAAGGCATTTGAGGCAGTGGCTCCCAAGAGAACCTCAGATTGCTGATTCTGCAACCACTTCCTAGTCAAATACAACTGTGCCATATCGTGGTTGTCATCTAGAAGATGTTCAATTTCATCCCGCACCTGAAGAAAAATGATCATACAAATTGCTAAATATGATGTTAACTCCAATATGATTGCATGCATCATCAAATGATACATATTATTAATTAGCTGCAAGAATTTGTGTTTAAGAAAGCAATGACTTCTGAACAGCTCATAAACAGAAATCAATAAATTAGAGGGGAAGGAGATATATTGTTCTTTTCTTTGTTTTAGGACCACATTGTTGAATGCATATAATCATCAGTAAGATTGAGGATTAAACTCCATTCTTGAAATTTTCAACCAATACAGCATTCAGAAGGTTGATCTGATATCAACCTTCCAATAAAAGAAGCAAGTAGAGGCCATCGTTAATGCCCATTCCAATTCAAGAAACAAAAACCCCCCCAAAAAAAGGATCAGACTTGTAAGAATTTTAATCCCACTTACATATTTTAAAATACTTTTTTCCCCCAAAGCTATCCTTGGTCACTTACTGCAGCCCCACGGAGAAAGTAGTCCTTACCAGAGGGACAATAACCACCAGAAAATGAATATATTACATAATGCTTAATGCAGCAGCGTACCTTTTGCACACGTGCCAGCAAACGTGTAAGGTTGCTTTTCAAACTTCGCACATGTTCAAGATTCTTGGTGCTAACATTTCTAGCCAATTCATCCAATACAGGGTATGCACCTTTCTCAAGGTCTGCCACATTTGAGTCCAGATATGTACAGACAACTTCTAAAGCAATCTCTAAAACTTGAAACTCAAACGGAAGCTCAGCTTGCAAACCATCTGCGGGCTCTGGCACAGGTAACCATTGTCTGCCAGTTGAAACAAGCAGTTCATTTTCTTGTTCTTCTGCATGGCCATGAAGTTTTGGCTGGGTTTTATACGGAAGTTGTTGCCTTAGTTGTTCAACAAATGGAAGAACCTCATGGGAAAGAGGATCAAGAACAAGGACTTCTTCGGCCGTGACTATAGCCTTTATAAACTCCAAATTGACTACCATTGCTTTCTCCCTGGCTGTGAGAAGCATATATTGCAACATGAAAATAGAGGAATATCAATCCGGCCCCACTTATAAGGCAAAGATAGAAGAAAATAATAACAAGGCATGCCATTAATTTTTTATCACCACTTTCCCCTATTACCCCTCACTAAATGCTGGTGCGTGTTATTTTATTCTCAAAGCATGTATGACTTCATAGGGACAAAGTTAGAAACTTATTAAATTTTTAGACAGAGTCAATAAGTTTTAAGGTTTTCCTTGTTTCTAGTGAAACACCTTGAAAGTGACTTATAAGTTATAAATAGAATAGATTAGTAATATAAAGACCTGGTTATAACCATATTCTGCTTAAGAGCTGAAACAAAGATAGTGAGTACTGAATAGTATCAACTGTACTGATATAGGTTATTACGGTGCTAGAGTGTCCAGAAAGTGGACCTCAGCCCAAACTTTAAGATCAAAACAAACTCGCATACAAATTATGCATTATTTCCCCGCCACGTTCAAACTGCAATCTCGTCTTTTCACCAAGTGCTCAAGAAATTCAGCTTGAGATACCGCACAAACCTTTTATAAACAATCGCAAAAAATAAACAAAATTTTCTGGAAAGCAGTGACACTCAGAAAGCCATACACAAAACAGTTGATAGGTAAGAAGGAAAAACACAATACGATCCAAATTCATTACCAAGAATATTGGAGGAGTGAGAGAAGAGAGGGCCCAAAATTCTCAAATCCCTGGCCGGAATCGCCGCGACTCTGATAATTGCGTTCTTATCCAACTCAACGAGCTCCGATTGACCCGACCGATCAAACCTCATCCACAACCTCGCGACGCCGGCCTTCTTCTTGGTCTTTACCAACGCCCCACCACCACCCCCACCAGGTGAGCCCAAAGTCCCGATTGTCTGCTGCTGCGGCGGCGATGGTGGTGGCCGATGATCAGCCGCCTTCTTTGGGCGACGGCGTAAGCTTGAGGATCGAAAGGAGAGAAGACCCTTACCCTTATTTTTACCCATATTCTTCCCTATATCACACAAATTCCTTTAAGTGGTAGGAACAACAACTGTCAATCCCCTTCGGGATTCTCAACTTCGTCGTCTTCTTCTCCGGGTCCTCCTTCACCACTCTGATCTTCCATACAAGGCTTTTGGTTAGAAGCTTAGTGTTAGTTTGGGGTTTTGTTTATATTTTATACCGTATAACGGATACGATCAGCGAAGGTTACTTTCTCCTGAGTTCTGACTTCCGATCTGAATACGGCCTCCATGATTTTTTTTTTTTCCTTTTTTAACATGAATTTTTGGAGGAAAAAATGTTTAATATGTTTATTAATTTTATTAAAGAATACCCTCTTCATTTTTTCATAAGTTATATTTTAAAAAATAATATTTTATTTATAAATTATTTTACAAAATGTATGATATAATTAATTTCTTAATAATATTCTTGGTGTCATGTGGATATTTTTAAATGATTATAAAAGAACAAACAATACACTGATTGATTTTAACCAACTTAATTAATATAAATTAGTTTAAAATGACTTATAAATAAAAAAAGGAAGTGAGTAATTGAAAGATCTTCATTTTGGCGTATGTAAAGTATAGGTCAATTTTATAATAATTTGAATAAAATTTTGTATAATTTTATATATTCTAAGCTTATTTTCAACATTACAAGCTTACGGGAATTGATTTAGAATTTTATGAAATTGGTCAAAAAGTGAACCCGATCAGCTCATCAAACCAGTAAAAAATCATATAGTACTTGTGGTCATAAATATAAGAGTTAATTGACTAATTTAAAAAGATTAAATTACTTAATTATAATATATGTTATATGTTTTTCCTAAAATATAAGTAAGGTAAACTAGTTTGAAAACAAATAATAAATATAAATATTTTAAAATAATTTAAGAATTTTTTAATATTCATAAATTAGTCAATTAGTATTATAGTCTTCTAGTCCTTAATATAAATCTAATTGTTAAGTTAATTTTAGTACTAAATATGATATTTATTTGTCATATTTATCAATTTTTTCTAAATTACCCATATGGATACCCCTTAATCATAATCAAGCAAGTGAGGGATGAAGGATATTAAGAAAGATGATTACGGTGTTTTAGAAAAAATATGTTATATTTTTTATAATGAACTAACTTACCTAACTTCCTTAATCTAATCAAATTAGTTAAATAGGTCTTATATTAAGGATAAGAGGAGTATTAAGTACGGTAGATTTCGTTTCTTTTGAAAGGCAGCTTGGTGAAACTGCAATCTGGTCTGGAAATTGCCCACTTATTGCACAAAAAAGAAAAAAGAAAAAGAAGAAATCGAACGTAGTACCACATTCTCCAGCATTGAAGGGAGCGGCACATGCCAAAGATTCTGGACTTCTGGTTGCAATTCACCAGACTCTGTCCTTCATATATGTTTAAAGATTTGTCCTAAAGCCAAAGAAATTTGGCTCGGATTGATCAATCGCCCACAAATTACTACCATTTTCTTCTCTTTTCTCTGCTGTGGGATTGGATTATTATTTGAAATGCAAAAAATTAAGCGGCAAGTTCAAATCCTAGAAAAATATCTTGCCACAAGCTTTTTACTCACACTTGTTGGAACATGTGGAAAGCCAAATGCAAATAAAAAGCTCTACTTAGACGCAGTCACTCTTAAAGTTGACATTTCTTTCATCATAGGTCAAAGTATAGTTGATGACATGAAGCTGGAAGTCATGATCGGCATTGACACTGGGGAATAAGAATGGAGAGAGATAATAATTTTGAATGGATAGCATTTGGTAGTGATTGGTCCATTTAAATATTGATGAAGTAGTTAGCAGAAATATAACTTATAACAGAATGAACCCAACCCACAAAAACTGGCGAGTTCGGGCTAGTTAAAACCTAACTCTTTGGAGGCAGGTTTTCTTAGCTCGCATCTTCAGACCCACAACCCGTGATATTATCATTTCAAAATGGAGCAGCGTACTGTGAACATGGAAAATTTAAAGCTGAAATACCCCTAGTGTTTCACTCTTGCATTGAAGTTGAAATTTTGATACATGAAGAAGGTCTTCCACTTTGCCGGCAGGAAAAGTTTACAAAGTCAATGTCTACGACAACTTCATGAAATCCATCACTCTTACTTAGAATGAACATGCTTAGGACCATTATCTCTTCCATCACATCAAGATTAGGGAACTTATTATACAAAATTATTGGATATAGTAAGTCACCATTGATCATGTAAAGCAACACATTGTTGCTGATTGGCTTGCACACCAAGCAACTGACAATCTTAACATCAGGATTTTCAACTATCCCGCTCAGGGTGAACTTGTCTCTTTAAAGAGTCTTGATCTAGTCCTGCTTTTGTGGCCTTATAAAACCGCAACCTATAGGCAGGCTCCTGTGAGTTTGGGGCCAAGAAATCGCTCCACAAAATATAATTGTTAATATATATATTATTTCCAATCCTTAATATATGAGTTCAATAGCTAATTTATATAAATTAAGAAAACTAGTTACTTGTCAATATAATATATGTGTTGATTTTTTAAAAATACTTATTTTAGTCATTTGCATTGAAAACTAACCCTTGATGGACACATACTTATATGTATTCAAAGATAGTTTAGGAAACAATTGTACCTTAGGAGACAAAATGAATTAGGATTTGTTTGGTACGAGAAAAATGAAAGGGAGGGTAGGGGAAGGGAAATTTTAATGAGTTTGATTTAAAAAATTGAAGAAGTGTGGTTAAAAACTTTTAATTAATTCTTACTCTTTTATGTTACATCTTTTCTTTATTAACATTTTAAAACCCAACTTTTTTTTATATAAATTGAGCTCATTAAATTTTTTCCTCCCCTCCATTTCCTTGATACCAAAAAAGCCCTTAGAGTTTTATATTTGGGATTAAAACTGATTCTTCTATTAGCTCTCATATTTAAGACTGAATGAAGTGCGCATGCATACACTTATAGATATACATGCATTTCTCCTGTCATGGTTGGGAAACTAGTTAGAGGGTTGATTTTAATTAGTTCTAACTATCACATTTGTTAAAACTAAATAATTTATTTGAATTTCTTCAGTCACCCGAACTAATTAAGTGGTTGTTATATTAAAGGAGTATTTATCATAGCTAGGGGATAGAGATGAAAATGCAGTCAGCAATTAATTAAAAAGTGTGGCGACTAAACAAGAAATTAACGAGATAGAGAGCTGCTAGTCAGAACCCACCTAACAAATTTACAAACTGTTAGGTTGATCACATGATGATTAACACTAAATCCAAACCCAAATCATCATTATTATTAATGTTACTCTTAGCCTACGCCTACACGAGTTCTCTCGTCTTCACCTACCTAAAATCTCTTTACTTCTTCGTATAACAACACCACTGTAGCTGATTGGCAGCCCTTCGTGTTGTTCATCCTCTCTTTTTGCAACTCTTCGTTTTGTGATCACGCAGAAGAACAACACATTGTTATGGATTCTGATTCAGTAGTCCCAAAGACCGTTTGTGTCACTGGGGCTGCTGGCTTCATCGGTTCCTGGCTTGTCATGGGACTACTCCAACGTGGCTATACTGTTCGAGCCGCCTTGCGTGACCCTGGTTCTGTTCTATCCCCACAACTTTCACTTCTATGAAGGATTTCATTAGCAGATTTCTATTTACATATTTTCTTGAACATATTGTGTTACTTCCTTCCATCCTAAACACACACACACACACACAGACACACACAAGAGTCTGATACTCACTTAATCATTTGTACATGGTATTAGAGCCCGACTCAGGTCAGCTAATTAGACAAACTAGTGAAAGTCTCTTGGCCAGTCTGGGCAAGAGTTTGATCTGATTGATTGAGTTGGATTTTACGTATTTATTTCTTTTTTATCGAAATTGAAATGATGTTGTTGAGTTTAAAAAAAAAAAAAACAGTCCATCAAATTTATAGTACTTTAATAATTTTTTTTATTGGATTATGTGTGACTTGTGGAATAATGCTTTTTATTTAAATATTATTTTAGTTATACTTGGCTTGATCTCAGATTGGTCCCAATTTAAACTACTACCTCTCGTCCTAATTATAAGAATTAGTTGACTAATTTAAAGAGATTAAGAAAATAAGTTAAATTAGTTTTTTATAATAAATAGATGTTGTTTTTCCTAAAATATCCTTAGTAATTAAGTGTATTAGCTAGAACTACCATTATTAAAAAGACTACCTTGAAAAAAAATGTATAAATATTAGAAACAAAATGGATTAGGGTCTTATATTTAAGATCAAAATAAAAGTCAATCGATGTCTTATATTAAGGACCGGAGGTAGTATTAACTTTTGTATTACTGTTTTAACCAATTTATTGATCAGTTTGGTTTTTAGAACCTTGCAATTGCATTAAAGAAATCACCTCATGCGTAGGAAACCTCCATAATAATAAGGGTGGCTTAAAAAAAAAAAAAATTTAAAAGGTAATGTAAATTGACCTTACATTTAGAATCAAAATAATTCAATCAACTAGCTTCTATGTTTAAAATCAAAGGGATTATATTAAAAAGCTAGAAAATTTATTTTGAAGTATGGGAGGTACCAAATGGGTGCAGGGAGATGTTTTTGAAAGACAAAACTTTTGTCTGATTTTGAGACTCCCCTGGGAGTCGTGTTACTTCTTTTTATCAAGCCTTTGCTTGCTTTTTCATTATTAAAAAAAATATTTTGATCATTAAATATAAATTTGTGTTGTTTTACAGATAACATCAAGAAAGTAGAGCATTTGCTAGATTTGCCTAACGCCGACACACACTTGACTCTGTGGAAGGCAGACCTTACCCAGGAGGGAAGCTTCGACAATGCCATCAATGGCTGCATTGGAGTTTTCCATGTGGCTACACCTTTCAATCTTGAAACCAAGGACCCTGAGGTAATTTAATTTCCTCCTCTTATTTATTAAATTATTCTTCTTAAACTATTACTTTTAAAATTATGTTAACTGTAATAAATAAAAGCATAACAATTATGAATTTGATTGGGGCATTTTTTTTGCAGAATGAAATGATAAAACCAACAATCAATGGTTTATTGGACATTATGAAAGCATGCGTGAAGGCCAGAACAGTGAGAAGATTGGTGTACACATCTTCTGCTGGAACTCTTAGTGCCACGGAGCACCTGAAACCTGTGATTGATGAGACTTGCTGGAGTGACGTTGAGTTCTGTCTTAAAGCAAAGATGACTGGCTGGGTTAGTACTTAGTGCTTCCTCCTCTTTCTCTACGCATCATTTGTGTTGATCTCTTATTTCTTGAATTGAATTGTAATTTGTAAGTTATTTTGTGAGTTATTAACCTTTTTTTTACACACATTACTCATACTACAATTTATTAGGAGAAAACTTAAAATATAAGTTTAGAGATGATAATAATATGGGTTAAGCTTGTTGGATTGGCAAGATGTTTTGGAGCGAGCTCTTTTCAACTCATAAGCCAATTACTACCTCGTGGGTTGGCTGGCCTTTAAAAATTTTCATATTTATTTTAATAATAATGTTATTATTTTGCATTTAATTTAAGCTCAATATTGTTTTATGTTAGGAATTTGGTTTCATACTTGATTTTTCATTTTCTTTAATAATTTATCATTTTTATATTGATAGAATCATTATGTAAAAATTATATGTTTATATTTATAGGTTTTGCGTTAATTTAATTATATATTTTATAAAAATGTAGAAATATTTGAATTTAGTCCACAATTTTGTAATTTAATTTGAAGATTTCAAAACAATTGAGAAACATTAAAAATAAAAATGGGGTTAGCAGGCACACTCACCAACCCACTCTTGCCCGGCGGTGCCTATAGGTTGGCTCACATTACGAATTCTGGTAGTATTTCTTTATACGCTTTCAAAAGTGGTAAAGTTAATTAGAAAAATAATTCATTTTTAGATGGAATTAATGAGTTTGATGAAGTGGTTAGAGAATTATAACAAAAGGCAGATGGAGTATTTTACGTTCAAATTATTTATTGGACACATGAGAGATATTAGAAAAACAAACTATATATAATCTGCAGGTATATTTTGTTGGAAAAAGACAGAAAAATGCACCTTTAATTTCATAAGCCTAGAAACGTCCGCTGAATTCAGGAAATCCCATTTTGGTACCATGAGACCAAATTGGGATTAATATGTGAAAGGAAAAGACCACATTGCCCTTCATTTTAAATATTATTTTTAAAATATCACAGCCCTACTGGCCGGCCGGTCACCGGACCTCCGGCGGCGGCGGTCACCGGAGCTCCGGCGACCAGCCGACAATTGGTCACCGGAGCTCCGTCGGTCGGAAATTTTTTTTTTGAAAATTTTACAACTTCAATATAACGGTTAACAACTTTTGTAATGCGATTAACAATTTCAGTATAACAATTAACAACAGTTTTTCTGGGAAATTCAACAAACTCCGGCGACCGGAAACAATTATTTTGAAAATTTTTACAACTTCAATATAACCGTTAACAACTTTTGTAATGCCATTCACAACTTCAATATAGCAATTAACAACAGGTTTTCTAGAAAATTCAATAAACTCCGGCGACCGGAAACAATTTTTTTGAAAATTTTTACAACTTCAATATAACGGTTAACAACTTTTGTACTGCTATTAACAACTTCAATATAGCAATTAACAACAACAAACTCAGGCGACCGGAAATAATTTTTTTGAAAATTTTTACAACTTTAATATAACGATTAACAACTTTTGTAAGTCTATTAACAACTTCAGTATAGCGGTTAACAACAGGTTTTTGAGTTTGTTAAAGGCATTACTGAAGTTATAAAAATGTCACTTTTTGAATTTAAAAACTTGTTGTTAACTGCTATATCAAAGTTGTTAACCGTTATATTGGAGTTGTAAAACTTTTCAAAAAAACGTAATTGTTAACGTTATACTGAAGTTGAAAATTTTTACAATTTCAATATAACAGTTAACAACTTTTATAATGCTATTAACAACTTCAATATAGCAATTAACAACAAATTTTCTGGGAAATTCAACAAACTCCGGCGACCGGAAATAATTTTTTTGAAAATTTTTACAACTTCAATATAGCGGTTAACAACTTTTGTAAGCCTATTAACAACTTCAGTATAGCGGTTAACAACAGGTTTTTGAGTTTGTTAAAGGCATTACTGAAGTTATAAAAATGTCACTTTTTGAATTTAAAAACTTGTTGTTAACTGCTATATCAAAGTTGTTAACCGTTATATTGGAGTTGTAAAACTTTTCAAAAAAACGTAATTGTTAACGTTATACTGAAGTTGAAAATTTTTACAACTTCAATATAACAGTTAACAACTTTTGTAATGCTATTAACAACTTCAATATAGCAATTAACAACAAATTTTCTGGGAAATTCAACAAACTCCGGCGACCGGAAATAATTTTTTGAAAATTTTTACAACTTCAATATAGCGGTTAACAACTTTTAAGCCTATTAACAACTTCAGTATAGTGGTTAACAACAGGTTTTTGAGTTTGTTAAAGGCATTACTGAAGTTATAAAAATGTCACTTTTTGAATTTAAAAACTTGTTATTAACTGCTATATCAAAGTTGTTAACCGTTATATTGGAGTTGTAAAACTTTTCAAAAAAACGTAATTGTTAACGTTATACTGAAGTTGAAAATTTTTACAACTTCAATATAACAGTTAACAACTTTTATAATGCTATTAACAACTTCAATATAGCAATTAACAACAAGTTTTCTGGGAAATTCAACAAACTCCAGCGACCGGAAATAATTTTTTTGAAAATTTTTACAACTTCAATATAGCGGTTAACAACTTTTGTAACACTATTAACAACTTCAGTATAGTGGTTAACAACAGATTTTTTTGAAAAATTATATAACTCAAAAACCTGTTGTTAACCGCTATACTGAAGTTGTTAATAGGGTTACAAAAGTTGTTAACCGTTATACTGAAGTTGTAAAAATTTTCAAAAAAATTGTTTTCGGTCACCGGAGTTTGTTGAATTTCCCAGAAAGCTGTTGTTAATTGCTATACTGAAATTGTTAATAGCAATACAAAAGTTGTTAACCGTTATATTGAAGTTGTAAAAATTTTCAAAAAAATTGTTTCCGGTCGCCGGAGTTTATTGAATTTCCCAGAAAAACCTGTTGTTAATTGCTATATTGAAGTTGTGAATGGCATTACAAAAGTTGTTAACGGTTATATTGAAGTTGTAAAAATTTTCAAAATAATTGTTTCCGGTCACCGGAGTTTGTTGAATTTCCCAGAAAAGCTGTTGTTAATTGTTATACTGAAGTTGTTAATCGCATTACAAAAGTTGTTAACCGTTATATTGAAGTTGTAAAAATTTTCAAAAAAAAAAAATTCCGACCGACGGAGCTCCGGTGACCAATTGTCGGCTGGTCGCCGGAGCTCCGGTGACCGCCGCCACCGGAGGTCCGGTGACCGGCCGGCCAGTAGGGCTGTGATATTTTAAAAATAATATTTAAAATGAAGGGCAATGTGGTCTTTTCCTTTCACATATTAATCCCAATTTGGTCTCATGGTACCAAAATGGGATTTCCTGAATTCAGCGGACGTTTCTGGGTTTATGAAATTAAAGGTGCATTTTTCTGTCTTTTTCCCTATTTTGTTTCAAAGACATTGGCAGAGCAAGAGGCATGGAAATTTGCCAAAGAGCATAACATGGATTTCATCAGTGTAATTCCTCCTCACGCGCTTGGCCCTTTTCTCATGAATTCAATGCCTCCCAGTTTTTTCACCTCTCTTTCCCTCATCACAGGTGAGTTATTATTAATTTCTTTTAATTTCAACCTTTGTTAATGCTTAAATTATATTCTTAATTTCTTGACTTATTAGCTTTGAAAATTTGGAAAAAAAATTTGACACTTTTGTAATTTAACAAATTTTTTAATTTAGAAACGCAGTTGATACGGCCTTACAAAAAAGACTGGGTAGAATATTTTTATTTACTTTTAATTTAATGGACTCTGGTTATTGTAGGGGATGAAGACCGTTATTCAATCCTAAAGAAAGGCCACTTTGTTCATTTAGATGATCTTTGTATGTGTCACATATTCTTGTTTGAGCATCCTCAAGCAGAAGGAAGATACATATGCTCCTCCCATGAGGCCACAATTCATGAAATTGCCAAGTTGCTCAGTCAAAAATACCCAGAGTACAGTGTCCCCACCAAGTACAGCTCACTTTCTCTTTATTTTTGAGAAAATAAAAAAAAACTGTTAAATTTTAAAATTTCAAATCAGTCTTGGTTACTATATTCATAAAAAAAAAATAACTATATTTAAAAAGAAAATAACAATATATTTTTTATAGTAACTGTTGATTTAGAATTTGAAATTAACAGTTATTTTTTGGAGACTTTTCCTTTATTTTTTCAATATAATTAATTTAAATACTCACACACACAAACATGCTAATGCCGAATTCAACTTTTGGACACAATCTAGGTATAATGAGTAGCACGCTGTCATTGGAACAACTTTCTGATGACACTTCATAGTTATCAATAATTCATTTACATGAGTGAATGAATCCATGTTGAACTAATTATTATTATTATACGCATGAATGATCTTCTTTTTTTTTTTGGTCTAAAGGTTTAGGAATATTCCAGAGGACTCAGAGATATCGCACTTTTCTACTAAGAAGATAAAAGATCTAGGATTTCAGTTTAAGTATAGCTTAGAGGACATGTTCACGGCAGCTATTGATACTTGCAGAGAAAAAGGGCTTCTTCCCAAGTCTGCAAAAACCCTCGCTTACGGCACAATTAGTACATGAAAGTTCATGTGAGTTGGTTTTTGAAAACTCACTAATATCAAGGCAAGCTTCAAGGTTTTGAGAATATTCATTAAGGCATTTAGTGAGATTATCATGTCAACAATAAGATTTGAATCTACCTCTTTTTGACGATATGGATTGTATCTTTATCAACTAGCTAGACTAATGTATGTTTGCAGGTTTCAATATTATATTCTAAAATTATGGCCTAGGAGATGAAGCGTGTCTATGAGGTTTCATGTGTTTTAAGTGTTTGGTTCGTTTTATGATTATTTTTCCCCATTTTGGGACTGTTTTATTTTAATATACTGAAAGTGTGTTGGGTTACCTGTTGAAAATCACCGAAGCGTCATGTTTGATTGAAGGAAACACATTCATTTTAGTTGGATTAAGTACACATAACATGAAATAGTTAAAACAAGACAAAATGTCGTGATGTGGCCTTCTTTTTAAGAAAAAACTGCTTGACATGGATAAAAACCTAATGGATATTCGTGTATAATGAATTCTTATTTGTAATGTTTTAGCTGGATATGTTGTTTAAGTTTTGGATTTTCCTTGGAAACGTTTTATATAATTAAACTTATTCATTAAAGTAATCATTGATTCACCAATACTTAAGAACCCAGAAGCTGAATTTCAAGAGAGTAATTTTCATTGTTTTTGTTGTTATTTCACATAACTGAATTTATTAGTCCTTAAAGTTAACCAAGTTATTTCATACTACTTCAATTCTTAATATAAGAGTTCATTTGATTTTTATTTTGATTCTAAATATAAAACCCTAATTCACTTTATCTTTCATATTTATTTATTTATTTCAAGGTAGTCCTTGTAATAATGATAGTTCTAACCAATACAATTGATTAGTAAGGATATTTTAGGAAAGACAATATATATTTATTACAAATAGCTAATTTAACTATTTTTTTTAATCTGTTTCAATTAGTCAACTAGCTCTTATATTAAAAAAGTATGTAATATTATGTTGAAGTTTGATAGTTATCTTATACAATATTTTGTACCATAGCACTAAGATATATTGATGCCCAATGGTCATATAACATTTTGGGAACCAAAAAGTGGTAGATCAAATCCAATTTTGATAAACTCTTGCCTAAAAATTCTCTAGTTGTCTGAACTCTGGTGACTTGCCACGGAGGGATGTTTTTTGTTTTATGAAAGAACAATTAGGTCATTTTAAGGAAAACTCAGTCCAGATTCCGGAGTAGCCCCCAAAATCTACATAAAAGTTAAACAATTTCGCTGGACCATTTTTAAAATCCCATGTTCTGGGAGTCCCTTTTCTTCTTCACTGTGCTTTTTAGTTTAGTAACCAACTTCTAATAAATTATTCTTCCGGTTCTTAATATAAGATCTAATTGGAGAGTTGATGTTAATCTTATATATAAGATCTATTTCATTTGTTTATCAAATTTTCTCAAATTAACCTTATTGGTATCTTTCCAACAATAATCCAGTAGGAAAGGGAGGAAAAGAATTAAGAAAGATATTTAAGATGTTTTAAAGAAAAAAATATCATATTAACTAATTTAACTAACATTCTTAAATTAGTTAATCAGATCTTATATTAAAGACAGAACGAGTATGAACTAGCTTTGTTTCTTGACCAGTAATAATTCATCAGAATCATATCTGTGTGGTTATGTCTAAGAAGTTCAAGGGGCACTGATCAATCCAAGGCTCAGTGTTTTTTTTTTTTGAGCCAAAAATGCTTATTGTAATACTATCTCAAGTCCTAAATATAAAAAAAAAATTGGAGATTTAATTTGATTCTAAATATAAGATTTCAATTCACTTTGTCTTCTATATTTATTCTTTTTTTCCCCCCTAAAGTAGCCCCCATGATGACATGTTACAGATTTCTATTCTAATAGATATGAGTAACAAGGTTATTTAGAAAAAAACAATATTCATTTGTTACAAATAGTTAACATAACTAATTTTATTAATATTCATAAATTAATTATTTAGTTCTTATATTAAGTACTAGAACTAGCATAACTTATCAACTTGGATGTTATTCTTGACCGGCCCGTGATCAAAATCATACTATTAATTAATTCTTGCATTTTATTTTCAAAAAATAAGAAGGTTGATACATTCAATTTATTTTCATTATAGTTGATTTCAAATAGTATTCAAACAATTTGATTTTAAAAATATTCTTTCAACAATAAAAAAAATTATTATTACTACCTATTACAAATTAAACCAAATCTCATATTAAGAAGAAGTAATTACATTTATTATTAATAATTTTTTGAACTACGATCTCTCAATCTCAAATATAAATTAAAGTGTTATCTAGAATAAATTTTTGGTATATAATATGACTCTTTTGGTGGGTCATTAATAAACTTTTCTTCCAAATATTATCTTTTGTTACAATTTATTAGAATGAGACTTGAAGTCTAATGCAACGTTTTTCTATGCTCTTAGATATAAGCAAAGTTGAAAAAAGTTTTATTTTCAAACAAAGCTAATGAGTCAATCATCTTTACTTGGTTCTGCTGAGGTAGTTAGAGATTACTTAAAATGTGGATGGGAGGAGATGCTTATTATGTTGGGTTAAGATCCAATTTTGTTCCGAAAATTTACACAGAAGAGTTGTGAGTACTCAAAATTTTTTATTGGATCAATATCGCTCTTAAAGTGTTAATAGACAAAATCATCCAAAGTGTTTATTAACTAACATTGCCTATTAAAGAACTAATATTGAGCATTAAAACTTTTGACAGCTAGAAGTGAAATTGCTCATTTTTTAATACTTTTGGAGACAATATTGATTTAACAAAAATTTTCGGATATACACCGTTCGTACGTGAAAAATTTTGAGACAAAATTAGACCTCAGCCCTATTATATTTAGGGACAAAGCTGAAACTGGAGTCAAGCAAGGCAGCTAAACAAGACAAAGTCATGAGAGAGTTGCCACTCAAAAGTCACAAACCACCTACCACCACCGTTGGGTTGATCACATGATTAACAATAAATTCAAACCCAAATCATTACTAACATTACTTTTATTTATAAATTATCCTCTCTAACTAATATCTTTTCTTCTTCTTTTTCTTCTTATAACACTGTCACTGACAGCCTTTTGATTTTTCATCCCAGTGTTAAAATCTCTTCACTTCTTCTTTATGATCAGCTAGAAGAACTGGACATTATGGATTATTATTTAGTGTCAAAAACCGTTTTTGTCACCGGAGCTGCCGGCTTCATCGGCTCCTGGCTTGTCATGAGACTCCTCCAACGTGGCTATACTGTTCGAGCCACCGTGCGCGACCCTGGTTCTTATTTTACATGAAGGAATTATTATTCATGCATGTTTTTTTTTTTCTCTTTTCATTTAATTTGTTAGTTCATTCAATTATTTGATTTTCATGTTCAATTCGCAGGTAACATGAGGAAGGTGAAGCATTTGCTAGAGTTGCCTAATGCCGACACACGCTTGAGTCTGTGGAAGGCAGACCTTACCCATGAGGGAAGCTTAGATGATGCCATTAGCGGCTGCATTGGAGTTTTCCATGTGGCTACCCCTTGGGATTTAGACTCCAAGGACCCTGAGGTTTAGTTCTTTACTTGTCTCACTTTATCTCTAACAAATGGGTCCCATGCATTAATATCCTAGACTGAGGGGTTAAGATTGATATTGGATAATATTAGTTTTTCATTTTTTTTTTTTTGGATTTCTCTTTCCGGTATCCCACACCCTTTGGGTGCAGACTAAATCCGGAATCGCCCCAGGTGGGACTTTCCAGGATCGAGCCCATGCACTGGCGGGTACTTGGCGCCTTGCCTTCCCCTTGTCAACCAGGAGGACCAACCCTCCCGGGCCAGTTTTTCATTATTGATCCCATTCTACTAGGGATTACATAATACTACCATTTCTTGGTACTTGAAAACCAATGTTGAGATTCGACATTTTTGGACCAAGTTGTCTTTGTAATATTTTAAATACTACTTTATACCAAACATAATTTTAAAGTCTCGTTCTCATTCTCATCCCATTTCTAAAAATTAGAGGTGTATTTATGGGATGGGAGGCGATCAGGTTGATGTCATCCCGGTCTCATCCCAGTCCCATCTCGATAATCAGGCCAATCCAACTATGGGAAGCGGGGTTGGCCCATCAGGAGGTGGGTCTTTTCAGTGTGAACCACATAGGTTACAACATGCAGCGAGCGAGCCCGTATTACTAACCATATACTATATACATGATTGTGTATATATGACATGCTTGAACGATATGAATTTGACTGGGGACATTTGCAGAATGAAATGATAAAGCCAACAATCAATGGTTTATTGAACATTATGAAAGCATGCCTGAAGGCCAGAACAGTGAGGAGATTGATCTTCACATCTTCTGCTGCAACTCTCACTGGCAGAGAGCACCACAAACCTGTGATTGATGAGACTTGCTGGACTGACGTTGAGTTTTGTCGCACAGCAAAGATCACTGGTTGGGTTAGTACTTAGTGCTTCCTACCCTTTATTATGCATATATGCATCATCTTAAAAATCATAACAAGCTGGGTATTTTGCAGGGGTATTTTGTTTCAAAGACATTGGCAGAGCAAGAGGGATGGAAATTTGCCAAAGAGCATAACATGGATTTCATCAGTGTAATTCCTCCTCATGTGGTTGGCCCTTTTCTCATGAATTCAATGCCTCCCAGTTTTATGATCTCTCTTTCTCTCATCACTGGTGCGTTTTTATTAATTCCTTATAATTTCAACCTTATTGGTACTTAAATTATAATATTCCCTTTTGTCTTATTTATAAGATCCTATCCATTAGTCCTCTATATAAGACCTTTGCCAGATTTAATGAAACATATTTATATGACTCAATTTCACTTATGACCTTGTCACTTTTAGCTTAACTAATTAATGACTAATCCATCGTTTATTTCTCCCTAATAAGATACTATATACATTTAAGGTAGGTTTGGAAATTTCTAAAACGAAATTTTTAAGTAACTTCAACTAACTTTTTGGCTCTAAAAAACCGAAGTTAATAGGGTCTTACGGGAAAAAAAAATTGAAGGGAAAGATATTTGATGTGCTTTAACTTAAATTTACTTGACTCTATTTGTAGGAAATGAAAGCCATTATTCAGTGCTAAAGAAAGGGTACTATGTTCATTTAGATGATCTCTGTATGTGTCACATATTCTTATTTGAGCATCCTCAAGCAGAAGGAAGATACATATGCTCTTCCCATAAGGCCACAATACATGGAATTGCCAAGTTGCTTAGGGTGTGTTTGGGTGTCTCCCCAAACCATGGTTTGGGGAAAAAATGATCCAAACACCCATAAAAAAATCAAAACCATGGTTTTAGAAAAAGCATCTTGAATTTGCTTTTGGAAAAAATTGGAGAGTGTCATGCTTTTGGAAAAAATGTTATAGAATTTCATGTTTAAAATCTTTAAAGCAAATTAATATTTTTCTATTAGAAAAAATAATCATTTTTCTATAAACATATTTAATCTTATAATTTAAAAATATACATACATATTAATTATTTATTAATTATATTATCTTATATATTATTAATTATGTTGGTAAAAATTATTTTATTAACAATTTTATTCTTTCAAATCAAAATATATTATAAAATCTATCCCTTATATAATTGTCATATTAACTTATGCCCTTTTTAGTAATTTGCAAATGTAAAAAGTGCTTCTGGTAACAATTATCCAAACACTCTCACTTCTCAAAATCATTTTTTTACAAAATCTATTCTTCAAAAAATCTATTCTTTCCAAAATCTATCCTTCAGAATCACTTTTCCAAACCACGGTTTAGTTTCATCCAAACACACCCCAAAAATACCCAGAGTACAATGTCCCCACCGAGACAACCCACTTTTCCTTTACTTCATAGTTAAGAGTAACTCTTTTAATTTCAATGCTCCCTCTTATTCTGAATATAAGACTCATTTTATAGTATAATTTACAATACTAAATAGATCTTACATTTAGAACTGAAAGAATATCATTTTATCCTTTTACCAAAAAAAAAAAAAACAGAGTAATTCATTTACATGAGTGATTCTATGTTGAACTAATTATTGTAAACATGGATCATGGTTTTTGTTTATATAGGTTTGGGAATATTCCGGAAGAATTGGAGATTGAGAACTTTTCTACCAAGAAGATAAAAGATTTAGGGTTTCAGTTTAAATATAGTTTAGAGGATATGTTCACCGCAGCCATTGATACTTGTAGAGAAAAAGGACTTCTCCACAACCGTGCGTAAGCTCTCGCTTATGGCACAACTGATTAAAACTGAACATGATATGTACTTTGTGTTTGTGAGAGCCTTGGCTCTTCTATTTAGTTCTTTCCTTTCTTTTTGTGTGCTTTCTAACATATGAAATGAAAATTTAGGCGAGTTGGATACTTAAACTTCATGAGGATAAATGAAATTATAATAACAGTAAGCATGATGTTCTAGCCTCTCTACGATTACAATTTAGTGTTTTTCTTCCTTAATTTTTTCTATTGTTGAACTTAGGGTATCCACAGCTAATAGCAGTGACTAATTCTCTCGTATCGTAGAATTCCCAAAAAAACTTTAGTGTTGACAGCAAAACCCTCTCCATATGTGCTGTCAAAGATCAAATTCCTGGCCAGATGTTTAAGGGACCTTATCAATTCTCTTACTCAATCTTATTTTAAGCAGGTTTTCTTTATTCCTCATGCTCGTTAATATTTACATGCATTCAACCTTACACATAATTTTCTATTCAATGACTTTTGAATATCACCTCACATTATAATCTATTGAAATAAATATTTAAAATTAAAAAAAACTTATACATGATCAGTATAAAAACTTTTTAATACAGAAATATATTTATTCTAAAAATGATCCCCTTCCCCACTATTCTTTTTTTTCCCTCCCCATTTTCAAAGTTAAAAAAAGTGATTTATTTATTATCCGGGAATGTTTTAAACAAGATTACCTTCAATAGGAGGAAGATTATACCTAGAAAAAAGGTTGAAAAAGAAAAGTATAAAAACTACAAAATCAAAGCAGATTACTAATTAGATGTGGTACTAATTAGAGTGAGTGTGTATATTAATTATTGGAAAATTAGTATGATACTTACAAATATATAAAGAAAAAAATGTAAGATCACGTGCCACGGGAAATCAAGAAGTTTTTGTTATCACAGTGAAAATCAATAGCACATAGCAGAGAATCTAACAGTGAATATCAGACTTTCGGTTTCAAACATAAGGAATTAATATCTATGTCACACGAATTAAAAAAATTATAGTTAAGCTAACTACATTTGTAGCATGACATAAATTTTTCCTATATTTTCCTTTAATTAGATTTTTCTTTCAAACTTCATTTAATGAAGAGCATTTTTTTTATAAAATATACTGTAACATTTAATCACATTAATCAAAACTTAAAATTTCGAACTTCAAAGAACCAAAATGAAAATGACAAAGGCCGCGGAGATTAGAGAGAACCCGGAAATTCAACATCTAGAACCTCAAAATCTATAGATCCATATGGCTCCACCACACCAACCTAAACCTGATTTGGTTCTCTTGTAAATTTTTATGATGTTCTAGGACATTAATTTTTAAATGTTTAGATTTAGATTTGACATAAATTGTTTATATGCATATATCTTTATTTTAGAACATAATATTCAATAAGCATATTGTAGTTAATATTTTAAAAATAATCAAAATTAGAAACAAGAAAATTACAATAACCTTAAATTAATTAAATTAAATTCTCAGCTGTATCCACTATCCACTCTCTCCACTTATTACTTCTGCCATTAGATTAATATTAAATGGTCATAATTCTATTAAAATTTTATTATGATAATATCACCAAACACTTAGATCGACTGGCTGTGGGGTCATTCTAGCTTAACCAAGATCAGCAGGTTCGATCCCACTTGGGAAAGCAGCAGTGTGGAGTGGTAGGCAAGCCATTCGCTAGGGGATCCTTCACAGGTGTCGCTCTGGATTAGTCTGGATCCGTTGAAAAGCCTAAAAGATGGTATTAGCCTAGGATACCGGAAGAGCTCTACTAAAAAAAAAAAATTATTATGATATTAAATAAAAAGTATGTATAAATAAATTCAAACATTTAAAAACTTAACCTTAATAGTTTAGAATTGCAATAAATAAATGAATAAATTTAAAATATTAAAATTCATCTAAATAGTTTACAATTTTTTCTATTTGTTTAACTTTTTGTTCACTATGAATTTGAATAGTTCATGTCAAATTTTAAATATTTAAATTTATTTTTAGATACTTCTATAATTTAATATTATAATAGTATTTTTGAAATACTGAATCCAACTATTGAATGTTATCAAATGTTAGAAATAATGTGGAAATAATAAGTGGGAAAAATACTCTCTTATAATTGTATTGATTATTGAGTTTTTTTAAACAGGGTATTGATTATTGATTATTTATTGAAACAATCGCGTAGTTATTAATTTTCTAGGTCTTTCCTTTCTTTTACATCATTATTAGTCTTTTAATTTTATATAATGTTTCAATTTAGTTTTTTAATTTAAAAATTATATTTTTAGTTTTTTAAATTTAAAAATATTTAACAAAAAATGATGATATTAATATATAAAATTTTGATAAAATAATATTAAATACTAACATACTCCTTCAGGCTCAAAATATAAGCTAAACTTTGTTGGAGGGATTTGGTTTTTTTATAAGATAACATTCACTCTTATCTAAGCATTTAACGAGTTTTTTTTCCAATTTTATCCCGAATATATTATTTTTCCTTTTTTGATTCATTTATTGCATATTTTATTTATTTTCTTTATTAATAAGGGCATATTTGAAAAAAAAAAAGTACATGCCTTGCATATTTATTGTTTTAAACTGATTTTAACTAATTTCTTGATAAACATAAATAGGTAAAGTTTAACTTATATTTTGAATTGGAAGGCGTATTAAATTTAATTTTCAAAATAGTCATGATTATTATTAAAAAATTATTTAGAGCTAACAATTTTAGATTTAATGAACTAAAAATATACTCCATTTTTCACAATTAAGAACTAAATTAAAATTTATATAAAATTAAAAGAGTAAATATATATATTTGTAATATTTTCTTTTATAGTTGCCTGGTAACAAAGGAAAATAAAAAATGTAGGGAGCAGCCAAGAAATCACCCTTTGAGATGGGCGGCATATAATAGGGCAGTTCACTGTGCTTCCTATGTATGAAAGCCGAAACCCAAAAACCTACGGCTGCTCTCACAAATTGTGGAACGCAACGTAACCATACAGACCCTTCAAAGTTCGCTTCTTTGCTGGCATGGTCACTTGCTTCGTTCGTTCTTTTTCTCTTTGCGCCTCCTCGATTTTTTTCTGTAAGTTTTCTTTGTAGTTGTTTTCTTCATCGTATCCGATCATGGGTTCGATTTGATTTTCGTCTCATTCATGACCTGCCTTTATTTTCTCATGGTCTGTGTGGGATTTATCTCCCCTTTTTGTTTCTGATTTTATGGTTCACGGGCCAGGTGTTACTATACTTTTTCACTGTGTATTGCGCTCGAAGAACATTATTAGTTTGCGATAGTGGAGTCTAGCTTCCTAGGTTATGGCATGTTGTTTTGGGGATGAGCTGCAAATACCCGAGGTTGAAATTTTAATCTGTTATGAGTGTATACTTGATTTGATTACAGGTTGGTACAGAAAAGAAAGTTAGGAATGAATGCTTGGGGTTTTGCCCATATGACTTGCGATTGTCTCAATGAGTTGGTCAATTTATTATCTCTGTTGAGAAGGTCCTGACACTATTCAAATTTTGGTCATAACTGGTCCTTATGTCCAAGAAACTGACTTTAAAGAATCTAGGTACTTCAAGTGTAATGCACATCTCCTGCATGGATTTTATGTGAATTGACAGCTTCATTTTAACTGCTGTTCGATGAAGTAAAGAAGTACTTTTGTCACTCTGTTTGCATGCGTTGGTGTATTTTATTTTTGTGATGTGTCGCTGTGTGCATGAACTTTTTTCCTGGCAAAAGAGATGCAATGCCCAAATGCCATCATGCCATGCGTTTTATGTGATATTTTAAAGCAGTGGCTCAGTTCTTTTGCCCAGAAAAGTAGAAAACGAGAGTTTCATGTATGCTACAAAGATTGAGCTATGATTGTCCAAACCATGTGGAGCTCTAGTGTAATTAGCTCTTGGGCTTGAATGCTGGTAGATATAATAAAATCCCTTGGAAGTTTCGCATTTCTAGTATCCAGTTGAACTGTCCTGCTCTGTTGCTTCAGTTCAGTGTCTTTTGTTTGTGTTTATGCTTGACTGGTAGATCCATTATCTATTCCTATTATGTGATGATTTTTGTTCATTTGTATGATCTAATAATTTCAGGGTGGTATTAAATGCTCTAAATAAAATTTCACTAAAGTGCAGGTTCCAGTTGTTGGAGTAAATCTTTAAAGTGAGATATTGAATCGAAGTGGACCTGTTTCTTCATACTGAACAGTAATCTAGTTCATATTTCCTGGTTCTTTGGGCCATCATTATGGCTGTACACTCAAAGCTCAGGCTTATTGGTTATTCACAAGATATTGTAGATGGGCAGCCAATTTTTGTTTCCTCGAATTGTACTCCTGTCAAGGCTTGGAGATTTGAACCTGCGGGTCATGCCTTCCATTCTGCTGCGCTCAAACTACTTGGTGTTGAGGAAGAAAATTCAGATGCTGATGATAAAAAAGTGGTTGATGATAATGAACAGAATTATTTTCCATCATCAGATTCTTACAGCAGCAAGAGTAAAAAGAAATCTGGTTCTGGAGACAAGCAACAAGATCACTATGCATTGTTGGGTTTGACTCATCTGAGATACCTTGCTACAGAGGATCAAATACGCAAAAGCTATCGTGAAACTGCTTTGAGGTATCATCCTGACAAACAGGCAGCTCTGCTTCTTGCTGAGGAGACTGAAGCTGCAAAGTTGGCGAAGAAGGATGAGATAGAAAGTCATTTTAAGGCAATCCAGGAAGCATATGAAGTTTTGATTGATCCTGTGAAGAGAAGAATCTATGATTCAACAGATGAATTTGATGATGAGATTCCTACTGACTGTGCCCCACAAGACTTCTTCAAAGTGTTCGGTCCTGCATTTATGAGGAATGGAAGGTGGTCAGTTAATCAGCCTGTTCCATCTTTAGGTGATAACAACACTCCATTAAAAGATGTCGATAACTTCTATAATTTCTGGTACACCTTTAAAAGCTGGAGAGAGTTTCCTCATGCTGATGAATTTGATCTTGAGCAAGCTGAATCTCGAGACCACAGGAGGTGGATGGAAAGGCAGAATGCAAAATTGTCAGAAAAAGCGAGAAAGGAAGAATCTGCAAGGATTCGTGCTCTAGTTGATAATGCTCATAAGAGGGACCCTAGAATACTGAAGAGGAAGGAAGAGGAAAAAGCTGAGAAGCAAAGAAAAAAGGAGGCTAAGTTACTTGCAAAGAGGTTGCAGGAAGAAGAAGCTGCCAGAATTGCAGAAGAGGAGAAGAGACAAAAGGAGGAGGAAGAGAAACGAGCTGCAGAAGCTGCTTCACAACAGAAGAAGTTGAAGGAGAAAGAGAAAAAGGTCTTGCGGAAAGAGCGTGCTCGTCTTCGAACACTTTCAGGACCTATTGTGTCACAAAATGTACTTGGTATATCTGAGGATGATGTAGAAAGTCTTTGTATGTCACTTGATACTGAGCAGCTGAGGTGTTTGTGTGAGAAAATGGGTGGCCTACAGATGTTAGAACAAGCAAAAGTTCTCATAGATGCACGAGATTGCCAAAAAGATGGAGAAAATAAGAAAAAAAGAAGAATCAAGTGATCGACAGAATGGTTCTGTTAAGGCTAATGGTAATGCCTCACCAGGAAACTTGGAGAAGAAGGAAAAACCCTGGAGTAAAGAAGAGATTGATCTGTTAAGAAAGGCAATGGTAAAATATCCCAAAGGAACTTCACGAAGGTGGGAGGTTATTTCAGAGTACCTTGGTACTGGACGGTCCGTGGAAGAAATTATGAAGGCAACAAAAACAGTTCTCCTCCAGAAGCCTGATTCTTCCAAATCCTTTGATGCATTTCTCGAGAAAAGGAAACCTGCACAATCAATTGCATCTCCACTGACCACTAGAGCAGAATTGGAAGGGGAATCAACTCCAGCAATCTCCCAAAGTAATTCTTCCTCGACAACAAATAACTCTGAAGACTCCAGCAGCAAAATTGCCGACAACCAAGTCTCTCCTGGTTCTGCCACTGCAAATGGAGTATCCTCTAGTTCAGACCAAGATGTCTGGTCAGCCGTACAGGAGAGAGCATTGGTCCAGGCTTTGAAAGCCTTCCCAAAGGAAACTCCCCAGAGATGGGAAAGGGTTGCAACAGCTGTCCCTGGAAAGACCATGAATCAGTGCAAGAAAAAATTTGCAATGATGAAGGAAAACTTCAGAAACAAGAAAAGTGCAGCTTGATGAGATAGAGATGGTAAACTGATTCAAAGTTCCTACGGATTAAGTGCCATTTTTTGGCTCTCATTTGGGGGATTTTGCCATGCCGCAGTTTAGATCCCAAAGCTAATATTTTGAAGAGAAAGAGAACCCCCCCCCCCCCCCCAAAAAAAAAACAATATAGGTTAGTTTCAAATTCTTATTCAGTATCCTTAATTATGCTTCAATTTGAGGGGTAGGTAATGTTCTACGGTCTTATTGGATACTGTCTTTACACCATGGGTGGAATACATTTTGTATTTGATTCTTAAGAGAGTGAACATCCGATTATAAGATCAGACAGCATTTGCCAGCCAACCAGCCATATCTTCTGTAGACGGAGTTGACACATCTTTTATAGATCGATTTTATTAGATGAGTTTTGATGTATTTTGCACTGTCTGCAATTAATATCAGACAGCAGATTCCTTTTTTCTGGTTTGAAAGCGATTGAAGCTAAGGACATCCTGATTCCTCATCTCTTTCACCATTGAGTTGAATCTATATTATTTTGCCTGAGAAGTTGATGAATACTGAGTTATGTCAGATTTTGTGTAAATATGCGGGAAAACTTATATTTGCGCAAAGTTTTAATTTTATGACTCGTTATTGCTGTCAACTTGTCTAGCGGATGAAGTTGCTACTTGTGTTCAGTGTCACAGCTGGGTTAAATTCCAGCTGCTAGTGGAAGTTCTGGTAGTTGATGACGACTGTAAGAAATTAAAACAAGAGTCATATACAGTTGAAAAATAAAATAAAATTTTCTAGTCATGAATAGTAACACACTACCTGTCCTTACCCTTGCATGTTTTATAACAGCATTTTATTTGAAGTTTTAATTTTTTTCACAAAATATTCCTGACTAACTTTAAAATTTTTAAACGATTAGTCAAAATTTTCTAACTAATGACTTTTATTGAGGGTAATTTTGAGATTGTGTTATTTTTTTAATTAATGTAAATTAATAAATTAGAGCACATCAAAAGAATCAGATGTAGAAAATAAGATTTAGTAAATGAGAGGTATGTCTTATATTTTAATGAAATAACGGATTATGTGAACTAACATACCTTAAATTTTTTAATCTGTTTTGGTTGGGTATAGGGTAGTAATGATATGACATTCTAAATGTACAAGAATTTCTTCTCATTGTATATACAAGTCATGCAAATTATATTGTAATTCGACTTAAAACTAAATTTTATATATGAAAATTATGATTTAATAAATTAATTATGCACCGCCATTTTGTTATATGAGAAGGTTTAAATCCTTCCGAGTTTTATTTCATTCACCTGGATGACTTCAGTTAATAAAACATTTCGATACGTCCCAACTAATGAAGGAATAAGAGGTGATAAGAAATTAGGCTACGTTTATTTAAGAGGCCAAGACATGCAGAAGTTTCAACAGTTAATCAGGTTTTTGGATTCCTTTCATTTCTTCCTAACATTTGTTAAGAAATCAAAAAAGAGACTCAAAATTATAGAGCTAAGCGAAATCATTTAAACCCATGGAACTCAATTGAGTGATGAACCTCGCATTGTATCTATATCTCTAAAATTGACATCAAATGAAGAGTTTAAAACATAAAGGATCCGAGTAACATTTGCGAGAAAAGAAGGAAATCGAGGGGCCAAAAAACTATGGCACAGAAAGAGGAATTTGCTTGACAGAACTTTTTATCCGCTCGAATGCTGTTCTTACTCTTTCCTTGAGGCCTTCATTTTCACTTTCAATTTCCCCGCTTAATTTATCAAGCTTGGCAACATTACCATCAACGTTAATTACTACCTTCCCATCCTCTCCAACCTTAACATCTCCGAAGAGTGAAACAAGGAGTGCATGCATGACCTTCTCTGCCTTCTTTTCATTCTCTTCCTCGATCTGAGAAGCCTCTGATTCATCCATTATTTTTGGCACCTCACGGTTGATGTTTAAAACCAGAGCCACAATTGAGTCTGATACCAAGTCACTAATGGGATCTGATGTCCAATGCAAGGAGATGTGCTTCTCAGACTCATGCTTCACTGTCACCCGACCATGGACTTGCAACGTTGGTACTCCTGATTCTTCGTCTACTGAAGACTCTACGCTCTCATATATCTGTTTGAGCCGATGCTTTATGACATTAAAGGCACTAGAATAGGGGATGGTTATTCTCTGCATGATGTTTGCTGTTGATAGCTGCGAGAAGACATGGAGGTCATCGGGTGCCATTATCTGATATGTAAAGCCTTTCTTTACAAGCAAACCACTGACGGTTTCACCAGCTTCCGGGGTTTTTTCAGCCAGTTTTCCAATGGCTTTTGCCATTTTCTGCGAATTGAAATGCATTTCAACAGATTGACAATTCTTTGGAGTAAGGACTTTGGTGTTTCTATCAGCAAATTGAGTGAGGAGCTTCTGTCTGAGCCTTCCCATCTCGTTAGCCTCTCCATGAACAAGAATTATGTTGGGAGGGTTGAGCTCTTCCAAGAATGCACTCGTTTGAGCAGAGTCAGCGTGAGCAGAAAAGGATATGTAGTGCACCTGCATGTTGAGGGGTGCAGCAAGCCCATTCATGAGAGTAACCTCTTTTGGTTCACTAATGATGGTTTTTGCAAGAGTACCTTCAACCACATAACCAGGTAAAATGCATGAATTTTTCTTATCAGAGCACCACTTGTCAAATAATTGTCGTGATAACCCACTCTGAAGCCCACCAGGACTTGCCATCACTACTGATGGTCCAACATCTTTGAAAACATCTATGCTACTTAATGCTGATATGTGCTTGAAAGAGAAGGGGTTTGACTTTGCATTCTTGATCCTATCATTCATGGAAAGGGTGTATGTCTCATAAACAGTCAAACACTTTTTCGCAAGGGGAGAAGCATAATAGATGGGTATATTCTGGAGTTCAGGATGGTTGGCCCAATATTCATCAAGAATCAGGAGAAGCTCCTGAGCACGACCAAGGGCAAATACAGGAATCAGGACACGACCCCCTTGAGAAACTGTTGAGTGGATGATATCAGTAAAGCGTTTTTCTCTTGTGTGTCGAGGTTGATGGTGCTGCACACCATAGGTGGATTCAATGATGCATACATCAGGTGAGAACTGGGGGGTCTCAGCAGCACGAAGATGCCGGTCTTCCTCACGGGAATAATCCCCAGTGTAGAGCACTCGAACACCAGCAATGTCAACCATGAACATAGCAGCACCAAGGACATGGCCTGCAGTGTAACACCAGAACCGAATGCCATTGACTTCTACTGTTTGATGGAAATCAATAACCTGAAGTTAGTAAGTGCTGTTAGTAGATATAGAGATTTAGAAGGTCCATCTATTGCAGCACGGGTATTTCAGCCTCATCAGAGATCCCAAATAAAGAGAGAAGATCAACCTGGATTTGGAAGACTACTAATATTTGAATCATACAGTGCATCTTATTCATACAGTGGATAAATACTTCTACTGATATATTTCTGTGTGATTTATGTAACTGATTTGACAAACTTAATCTCAAGTTGAGGATATCATCCACATAACATTACCGATGACCAAGAGTTATTAATTTACATATAATGCCAGAGAGAACACTTTCTTAACACTTCGGCAATCTAGAAGTTGTGCATATAATATAAAATTTTCTGAAAATAACCAATGCAAGTTTCAGATTTTACAAGCCTAGGGTATGATGAAACCTAAATGCCCAAAAACAAGGAAACAAACCTCAATTTTATCCATGGATCGGTTGATGTCCTGTTCATCAAATAACATATCTTCAACAGAAACCTTGCTCACTTTTACGTAATCTGATAGCAACAGCTTGTAGATAGCCTTTGTTGCATAGGTCATGAATACCCGACCTCTGAATGTCGTCTGGGGATATTCTCTTTCAGATGTACTTCCACCACTAAATTGTTAAAAAAATAACTTATTATAGTTGATTGAAAAGAGCATCATACCTTTTGTAAGAAGTAAGGGAGTGATGCAGCATGGTCCAAGTGAAAGCTGCAGAAAAAAACATCAACATGCATCAAATTTGGTTAACACCAAATAATAAATATAAACAAGGGACATGTACCGTTTCAAAAGAAACCATAAAACATATCTCTTTCCTTTCTTCAATACCAAAAAGATAAAAAAATTGCCAAGAAACAAGCATCGTTGTAATCATGTAAGTCTGCCAATGTGGAATGCAATATTATGACTGAGAAAAATGCACAAAATAGAGACCAATTGCCTTCATGAAACCTGATAATAAAGAAATGAGAACCCACTTGTAGAAGAAATAGAGCAGAAAGAAGCACACAGATCATAGATATTCTATAGTGATAGAAAGAAATACCAGGACTCTGCATGTTTAGTCATGTTAAGGTCCTAAGGATCAAAACATAATAGAAAGAGTTGATGAAGTCCGTTAAGCTGAAAATTCATGCTTTAGCAAAATATCTTCAGCTCCCCCTCCCAGAAATCAATAAACAAATGAAAAGTAACTTAGAAGAAAAATGGAAAGGTTTTATACTAGAATGTTATCACCAAATTGAAATTTTAAAAAAATTGCACTTGACCGTGCAGCCATTGAATCGAATTACCAATAACCGACACCAATTTTGTATGTGTTACCGCAATGAACCGAAAATTGAATTCACAATTTGAAACTTAACAAGGGAACGAGTCAGACTAAGCCATAGTATAAAAGAAGAAACATACTGAGTAATGAGAAGTACATCCACCGTGGAAGGGTCAATCTCGTCGAAGTATGGCAAAGCAGCCATACCTGAATAACCAGGGTGTATTCCACAATCGAACTGAAATGAGACAGCGAAAAAGTGAACATGCGTGAACTTGGAAAAGAATACGAACAGCGACTGTGTAACAAGCTATAAAGTTAATACCAGTATGTTTTTGCCTTTATAGGACATGAAGACACAAGAACGACCCACTTCATTTCCAGCTCCAAGTGGGGTCACAATTAGACGATCCTCCTCTCTATTGTTCACAGATGAGTCGCGTCTCTTGAGGGAGGGTGGTTGGCCTGTTGAACCCATTCCCACACTGAAATCAAAGTGAATAAAAAGAAAATTAGAGAAGATGAGCGAGTAATTTATTGGTTTATTGATCTGAATAATGTACAAATATATGTTAAATGCACAACGACAGGTAGGAACTAACTCGGGCATCCCCTAGTTATCCAACTTACAGTTAAAAAAAACTATGTTTTCCCTTTTATTACCTGTGTAAAACACCTCAATTGAATGATTGAGAAACTCAAGTGAGGAGAAAACCTTCAGGTTCGAAAAAATTTTTCCGGTTGAACTTTGAGAGGGTTTCCGGAGAGTGAGGAGGTCGAACTGGAGCTAAAACCCTAGTTTTGAAACAAAAGATGGAGCGAAAGAAGATTGGGAAAAAAGTTAAAAATAAGAACACATTCGACCACAGTGGGAGTCGAACCCACGACCTTCTGATCCGAAGTCAGACGCGCTAATCCACTGCGCTATGCGGTCGGATGTCCTGTGACGTCAAATAAATCTTATTAGTATACGATTCTACATCATCCTCTTTTTCATCAAATGGTATTTTAGAACTAAAATTAGCATACATCTTCTCTCACTAAAATTTTTTTTCCCTCTTGATCTCTATTCTCACTTCCTTTTACCACTTGAGTTGGCCTTAAGTGATCTTTTTAATTTTATTTTGGAACATAAATATAAATGCACACTACGGATATCTTTACAAAAAAATAAGTATAGAAAAATTTGGAATGTCACAATTCCCTAATTAACATACAAAACCAAAAAAAAAAAAAAGACAAAATATTATGCATATCTCTCGTAATGAGACCAGCAAAATAGGAAGCCTACAATTAGGTAGCAAAGCACAAATTGGGAGCAAAAGGAGGATCAATGGTTGCCAATTAAATAATAGAACTGCAAATTGTAGAGTAATAGTGGCGAACTATACTTATAACCAGACTAGCCAATCCAAGAGTTGTTGGAAAAGCAGAACATTATGTAGGGTCTAAAGTTTATTGAACATCAAGAAGATTCACAACTGAAATTTTTTACAATGTATTTTCAAGCCGCATTTAGTCCAGAGCCAAATAGATAGACTAAATCAATTCATGTTGGCGGAATCCAATTGCAAATATGGAGAATGAAAAGCAAAAAAAATAAAAATAAAAATCAAATAACATAACATGCAAAGTTCTTGGTCTGTAATTGCTGTAATATTGGTTTGGAAGTGAAACTAAAATGTTCAAATCACATATTACCAAGCCAACATTCGTTCCATCCGCAATTGCTATGGCAACAAATTATATGTTTAGCCATTAATGTAATGTATCGTCCAAAATGGTAATCCTTATTCTATCATAAATCACAAATTATATTGGCAATCTTAAAGTCGCACCAAAAAGTACTAAATTGAGATTCAAATTTCAAGAAGAAAAAGACTGGCAAGAGTGGGTTTGCAAGATTGCCTAGAAACATCAATATCTATTACTCCTCTGGTCCTTAATATAAAACTCATTTAACTAATTTAATTAGATTAAGAAAGTTAGATAAGTTAGTTAATTATAAGAAAAGCGACATATTTTTCCTAAAACACCATAATCATCTTCTTAATATCACATCTCCCTCTTCTACATGATTATGGTTGAGAGAGTATCTATTGGAATAATTTAAAGAAAACTGATAAATATGATAAATGAGTCTTATATTTAGGACTAAAACTAACTTAAAAATTAGATCCTATATTAAAGACCGGAGAAGTATATTATTATTGGTAGTTCGTTTTGTAATTAATTTAGTTCAATCAGTTGAAATGAAGTCAAGGACTCGCAAGTTGTGCAACAAAAAAATATACATGTATCATTATGCCTTGATTATGCATTCCTCTACTAGAAATCTTAGTTAATCTTTCGATTCTAAATATAAAACTTATTTTATAATGTAATTATTACATTATAAAATAAGTGTTACATTTATAGAATTGAAGGAGGATATACTCCAGACGTTCTTTGCTGCAATTGCTAGTGTTTGGTCAAAAGACTTTTGGACTTCTCTAAGGTAAAATTTTAATATCCTCATTTGGGCCCTCTTCAATAGGGTGTAAGATTGCTTAAAAAGCTTTCGGACTTGTTCAAAATTTTAGAATCTCAGGAGACTTTATTGAAATTAAATGATAGTCTTAGAACTCTAGCGTCGTTTTCATTTTAAAATATAGGGAAAATCATATTGAAGGTACCTATACTTTCTCTCAATTTTTAATTTGGTACCTATGTGTTTTTTTTTCTTGTAATTAAACATTTAATTTTATTTTTTTAGCAATATTAGCTCTTATAACTTTGTTCTATTGATATTTTTAGTCTCTACATAAGGATTAATGATGTTAATAGAGCAAAATTAAAGATTTAGTTAAGAACAAAAAACATATAGATACCAAATTGAAAATTGAAAAAAAATATAAGTACCTTCAATATGGTTTTCCTTAAAATATATATGGAAAGAGACAATAGGAAGATTGCAACCTAAAAAGAAATATACTTATGTATATAGTTTTAAAAACTTAGTTGATATTTGTTCCCAATGAGTTTTCTTCGTTGTCAACTCATAGAAACAATTTTTTGAGAGGTTTTGAATGCTTAGTAGTTTCACTAATACAATAAAAACATTTTATGATATAACATAAACTTTTTATATTAGTTTTGGGTTAAAAAATATTTTTAACGGACCTTTTTGATATTGTTAACGAATATACAAGTATAAATTTCATGATGAGCTATCCAGTTATATAACTAACCCAACTATTGATAACAATAACTCGTTAAAAATATTTTGTTCAACTAGGCTTCCAATAACTTTCAAGTCCAATAATAATTTTTTATTAAATTTGTGTTTTCTATAGTATAGAATAATTCTAAGAAGAGTAAGATAGCTGAAATAATTTTCAGCTTGCATACAAAAAAAAAAAAGGTCATAGTAAGCCACATGAAATCTATTTCCATTCCAAATGGTTGTTTGAAATTACTCTTCCCTCACTTAATGTAGGACTTAATTTAAAAGTAAATGTTGGTCCTATATATAGGACCTATTTCACATGCTTATCAATTTTTTAAAATTGATTCTATTGATATTCTCTTGATAATAATGAAATTGTAGAAGGAGGAAGGAAATTAAAAAAAATGATTGGAGTGTTTTAAAAAGAACGTATCATATTAACTAATTTAACTAATATCTTTAATCCAGTCAAATTAATTAATTAGGTTTTATATTTAAAATCAGATAAGTACTTCCAAGTGTGCTTTTAGGTTACTTTTCAGGTTGTCTACTAATAATTTCTGTGTCTAATTACAAGCGTCATATTTCTATTTGCAGGTGATTAAAAATATTAATTTTAAAAAAATAATGATAAATTAAAAGGACATTACACTAGGTGCGTCGATTTTCTCTCTTTTTTTTTTTTATGATTAGAAAAAAAATGGTGTTACAGAATAAATAAAGTCTGTTATAGAGTGTGTGCGTGTGTGTGTGTTTATTGATATTCAGTGGGAAAGACCAAATAATTCTCTTAGAAAACAAGCGGGTTTAGAGTTGGACAATTTTTTTTTAATAAATGGCTAATAAAAGCAAACTTTAGACTGGAAATCTATTGGATTTAACGGAAAATATCATATAATCCACTTAAAAATTATTTTTTTAGACTGGGACAAAATATTTTATAAATTAAAAGGATGAGTACTAAAAACACAGACTGGAAATATCTTAAAATTCACTTGAAAAATAGTTGAACCACTTGAAAATTTAGTTGTCTCAAACCATTCAATTATTGATATTGATTGAATTAATAACTACTTGGAAAATACATAAATGTAATGGCTAACATGATTTGTTTCACATATGGTAATTACTGAAAACAATGAAATGTATAGGGGTCAGTTATGTAAAAAAAAAAAATTTACACTCTAGATCCGTTTGGTATGAAAAAAATTGACCGGAGAGAAGGAAAAATTTTAATAAGTTTAATCTAAAAAAATTTAAAAAGTAATGTTAAAAGCTCATGTGAAAAGAAAAGACCAAATTACCCTTGATTTTAAATATTGTTTTTAAAATATCACAGCCCCTACTAGCCGGCTGGTCACTGGAGCTCCGGCGACGGCAGTCACCGGAGCTCCGACAACCAGTCGACAATTGGTCATTGGAGTTCTGTCGGTCGGAAAAAATTTTTTTGAAAATTTTTACAATTTAAGTATAATGATTAACAACTTTTGTAATGATATTAACAACTTCAGTATAGCAATTAACAACAGGTTTTCTGAGAAATTTAACAAACTCAAGCGACCGGAAACAATTTTTTTGAAAATTTTTACAACTTCAGTATAGCAATTAACAACAAGTTTTCTGAGAAATTTAACAAACTCCGGCGACCGGAAACAATTTTTTTGAAAATTTTTACAACTTCAATATAACCGTTAACAACTTTTGTAACGCTATTAACAACTTTAGTATATCAGTTAACAACAGATTTTTCAGAAAATTCAACAATTGGTCATCGGAGCTCCGGCGGAGGAAAACAATTTTTTTGAAAATTTTTACAACTTCAGTATAACGGTTTACAACTTTTATAATGCTATTAACAACTTCAATATAACAATTAACAACAGGTTTTCTAGAAAATTCAACAAGCTCCGATGACCGGAAACAATTCTTTTAAAATTTTTTACAACTTCAATATAACGGTTAACAACTTTTGTAATTATATTAACAACTTCAATATAGCGGTTAACAACAGGTTTTTGAGTTTGTTAACGACATTACTGAAGTTATAAAAATGCCACTGTTTAAATTTTTTGAAAAACTTATTGTTAATTACTATATCGAAGTTGTTAACCGTTATGCTGAAGTTGTAAAAATTTAAAAAAAAAAACATAATTGTTAACGTTATATTGAAGTTGAAAATTTTTACAAGTTCAGCATAACGGTTAACAATTTTTATAATGCTATTAACAACTTCAATATAGCAATTAACAACAGGTTTTCTGGAAAATTCAACAAGTTCCAGCGACCGGAAATAATTTTTTTTTGAAAATTTTTACAACTTTAGTATAATAGTTAACAACTTTTGTAATTTTATTAACAACTTCAGTATAGCAGTTGACAACAGGTCTTTCAAAAAATTAAAAAAATGACATTTTTATAACTTCAGTAATGCTTTTAACAAACTCAAAAACCTGTTGTTAACCGCTATACTGAAGTTGTTAATAAGGTCATAAAAGTTGTTAACAGTTATATTGAAGTTATAAAAATTTTCAAAAAAATTGTTTTCGGTAGCCGGAATTTGTTGAATTTCCCAGAAAACCTGTT